TGGCCACCCTGAAACGGATATAGCGGTGATCCGACAGGGTTTCCGCGTCAACCACCACTGCCCAATCTGCAATACGGCGCGCCAGGGGGGCAGAGGCGAATGTGACGTCAACCACCGACCCCCCATTGTGACGAACACACGTCAACTCGCTTCCCCTGTTGAGGACCTCCAAACCGAGGCTTATAGCCCACTCCTCCAGTAAATTTCCCCGCGCGTTCGTCACCGCAGATCCCCACGCTCGAGATTTGGCGTTGAAATCCCCGGCGACTAGCACGGGGCAAGGGTGCACTCTGTTGACTAGAGCTCCCACCTCAACGAGGACTTGCTGAAAAGCAGTAAAGCCCTCGTTAGGGGAGCAATACACCCCCACTACTGCAGTGCCACCCACGCTAACCATTACGTAACCTCGGCCCCTGGCTGTAAATATCAGAGGAGGGGCTCCGTTGACCCGCGAGGCGACGATGGCCACTAGTCCCTCCGTATCCCCAACCCAGTCGTCCCGGGGCGGCACGACGTATGGCTCAGCGACCACTGCGATCTGTGTTTGCCACTCCGCCATGGTCTGGACAAAGAGATCCTGGGCCCTGGCGCAGTGGTTTACGTTCGCTTGAAGTATTTCTATATCCATGGATTAGGACGTATCCATGTCTCCTCTGTTGGAGGGCTTAGGGAGCCTTGCCCCCCCACTCCCCTTTTTCGCTGACTGGGCTTTTTTAGGCAGCACCCTTCGCCTCCGGCCACGTGTGTGGCTGGTTTTTCTAGCGCGATACACGCCGCACAGTTTGGATCGTTTTTGCAATCCCGTGCGAAATGACCCGACTGACCGCAGCGATAGCAGTGGCCCCGGGGAACTCCCTGAGCGACCTTGCACATGGCCGCTAAATGTCCGGTTGCCAGGCACCGGAAACATTTCCGAGCCACCGGTGCCATTGCTGAGATGCGAGCGGAACTCCATCCGACGAAGATCCGGCCCGCGTCAACCACTTTTTTGGCGGCTGCCGCTGGGACTCCCAGCAGGATAGCGCCCGACGCTGAGAGGGAACCTGCAGCGATAAGCTCGGCGGGGCAGCCGCCCACCTGAGCAACCGTTGCCACTACCTCAGCCTGAGTAACGGACTCGTCCAGGCCAGCGACACGGATTGAGGTGCGCATCACAGGGCGGTGGATCTTCACTGCCTCGGGATTCACTACCTCCCTGAGCTTTTCAGCGAAGAGGTCTGCCTTCGCAGCAGAGTCCTCCCCACCAATCTCAAATATCCGAGCCCCGGTCTGCGCTTTCCTCCATTTTAAGGGCCCAAGGCCCAGCGCCTGGACATCTATGCGTTGGCGCGCCTCCCTCAGCACCGCCTCATAGGAGGCGTTTTCTCCTGCTTCCGGGAGGATGGTGATTGCGACCGCCGCAGTCTTCGGCGGTCTGATCTTCACCGTCTTCTTCTTGGGGGGTGGTGGCGCCGTTTTTGGTTTTGGGGCGATCTTCTTTCTAACCACCTGGCTCCAAGACGGAACTTTGTTCTTCTCCGGGGCTCCTATTGACGGAGACGCGTCTACGGGCTTGAGCGATGACCCCAGCGCAGCCTCGGTTGCGGCCATAGATGCCTTCTTGCGACCCTTCTTTGAATGGCCCTTTGCCCCCGCTACAGCTGGCAGTGCTGGAGCCAGAGGTCCAGGAACCGTCGAGGTTGTGGCCGTCACCGCCGTCCTTCTTCCTTCACTGGCTAGCGGAGGCCTGAGCCGGAGCTCTGGCACATTCGCACGGCCCAATGCTTCCACAACCTTACGGACAACTCTGTCTTCATCGAACTCCTGAGTAGAAGCTTTAACGCTTTGAACAAGTTGGGCAATCGTTGCGTCCATCTCCTCCAGACGCTTGCGTAGCTCAGCGTTCTCTTCTCGCAAGAGCTTGATCTCCTCATCCCGCTTTCCGCTTCCTCGCGTGGAGCAGGCCACTGCTTGGAGTCTCGCCTCTTTCTCTTGGGCCCTGGCCAGCTCTACTTTGGCACGGTGTAAGCCAACGTATTGGCCAGTAGAAGGAGGCCTTCCCCGCCCTCTTTTTGATTTGTGCGCCGCTCCTTTGATTGGAGCGACGCTCGCCTCAGTGGCCGTCTCTTCCGCCGTCTCGGGAGAGTTGAGCGCACTCCCGGCGGACCTTTTCCTCCACAGCCGACTGTCCGAAAGTGACTCCGCTGTCCGCACGCTACAGTCAGACATTTCCGAATCCGACAACCTCGGCACACGTACTCGGTAATCCTTTATTCCATAGCCTTTGTCCAACATGGAGCCACCCACAATCTTTGCGGGTGAAGCCCCATCACTGTCCATCTCAGTCACCACATCAACTCCGCCCGTCACAGACATCAAAGTCTAAAGTCAGTTGACCTTGGGCATATAACACAAACACAGTCAGAGCGTTTTTAAAACACGACACGACAGATAACCTTGAATGTTACGAACATTAGTCACGGACGCGACGCGATCGAACGACACGTCCGCCTTCGACGGCTGACGCGCAGCGACTCCCCGTGTGGCAGTGTCTTACGATTATGTTTCTTGTGAGTTGAATAGAAAATTTTGTTTTGTATTTTTTTTTACTATACTATTCCTATTTAATCATAAAATTCCTGAGAATAATTCCTGAGATCACATTTTTTAATAAAATAAAGATTTTTTTTTTGTGAAATGTATAATGCTGTTAGCCCTGTGGCTGTTACAGCATCACGTGAAGAGAATAAAATAATGACAAACCTTTCTAAGACATATCAAATAAAAACAAATGATGTTAGAAAGAGTTTTAACAATAACAAAAAAATAGGTCACAAAATGATAAAATAAATTTTCATGGGTCTTATTAAATTTTTCTAGTTAAAAAAAAAATATACAGGGTGACTGGTGAATTACTATCGATATTTGAGGACGTGGTAGTTGACGATCATATATGACAAAATAAAAATTAATATAACATAAATATTAATAAACTTCTAAGTAAAGTTAACCAAAAGTTATGTAATTAATTACGCATCGTATGAACACCCTACAGATTAGGTATACACACACACACACACATACGCGTGTCGTGACGTGGTGTTGTATCAGCACGCCGCCGCACGCGTCCACACTTGAACACTTGGAACGTGTCAACACTTTACTTATTTATACGGAAATTTTGCCAAAAATTAAGTGCCTATTTTTTTTTTTTTTTTTTTTTTACATAATTCGAATGAGAATCATGTACCGAGTATTCTCCTTAAATATTGATAGTAATTCACCAGTCACCTTGTATATAGAATAGGCAAATCTATTTAGACTGACGAAATTATTGATAAAGATTTGGTTCGTGAATTCATCCACCTTTACTTCAGAATAAGGATCAAAGAAAAAAATATTAAAACAAAAATGTTAACTTCCCATCAGTGAAGACATATACAATCTTTATGTTTCCTCATAAATAAAACAACTATTATGCCCCAATAATTGTAGCCTATATCTTATTCTGAAATGTAAGCAATATTCAAAAGTTCAATCAAAATCTATTCCGTACTTTCTGCATGAGAAAGTAACAAACATTCATGCATCCATATATTATCACAAACCTTTGCCTTTATAATATTAGTAAGGTCCTATCAGCAAAATGAAGTTAGTTTAAAAATTTTGAGTTTGAGTCAGTATAAAAAAGTAATGATAGCTTTGTACAAGAATTATATGGAGGATATACCAACATAATCAGTTTCACAATTGTTTATAGGAAACAACTATCATTTATCTGGCAAGCAGAATAAATATCAATTAAATTGTAGCTTCAAAATTGTACAACAAACAAAAATAATTTTTTGCTGCTTCATAATTTCCATTACAGTGTTTTTTTTTTTATAAAAAGTATATATCCGAATATACCGACCGAGTCTCAAGCCTAGTAATAAGAACATATTAAATTTTAATATTTTAGGCAATGATGGTCCAACCAATTAATTTAGTACAGCAATGACTAGTGTAGTGTAATGAGATCTTTGACATTCAAATGTATTTCTTTAAAATAAACTAATACTTTTGGTCCACTACACATTATTTTTTATTTTAAACCACACACTCCCAAGATTATGGTACTTTGCAGCAATTGTCACAATGGGCCGACAATATGAAAATGTTTACTAACTAATAGTTTTATTTTAGTGTAGTGTAGTGTAATAAAACTATGAATCAGTTTACACAATATTGAATCAGATCCTAAATTCCAATGTATTCATATAATCACTAATATGTAGTTTTTTCTAGTTTCAAACCTTAATATTAAAATATAAACACATATTGTTTGAATGTTGGTTGAGTAAACTTCTTATAACTTATTTTAAATGTAACATGTTCCATGCAATGGTTTAGTACTATAAGTCTTCCAGGTTTGTTTACCATATCAATAAAATTTTAACAAACAAAACAATTTCTAAATTATTTTGAACTATAGCACTTTGTTGAATTAAATAAACGGAAATGTAAGGAAACCATTGTCATAAATTATGTGAACAAACTATTAATTATTTTTTTTTCAAATCAATATTTACCTTAATCACAAATATTAAATGTATTTTCATATTTTACTAAGACAACGTCTAAGCGCTTTTTGACACTTTGATTACTTTAATTTCATGAATAATAATTAATATATTTAAAAAAGATAAAAACCTCAAAACAACAACTAAGCGGTGCATATTTTTAAAACGTTAAAATGTCATTAGACAATTATCTCAAACAAAAAATAAACAATAAATAACGTCGTTACTGAAAAATTCCAATAATGCGATCATTAATTAGTTATTCCAAGATGAATACTTTGAATAAAGAACACACTTATAACGCAAAAATGATATATCCTTTAATAAAACAAGGTATTTATTGTGTATAATTTGAAAAATATTAAATAGTAAGAGCGTTTATAAAGAATAACAAGTAACACCGCAGCATAAATAATTCACCAGAATAAGAGATGGAATGTTAAAGTACGTCTAGCTTACCTTGTATGCATTTCTCTGACTTTGGAGTCGAAGTCATCATTACTTGTAACTTAATTTAATGGCATATTAACACCAATATTGTGTATTTTTAATTATTTTAAAGATTTAAATAAAATGTTAATAAAATAAGAATCGACCGGCAGCCATATTAGATACCAAATTTTATTTTTATTCTGTCAAACTTTCTGTTTATGCTTTACAACTAGGATCCAAATTAGAAATAAAATATTTAATATTAAATTTCTGTTGTTTTTCTTGAATTTTAGAAAATTATTTTCGTTAAAGTTTAAATACACATATGTTATTTATAAAAAAAACTTAACTGCTATAGTCTTTTAATTTTATGCAAAACTGTTAATTAATTAATTATACCAATATTTGTATTAATACGTAGCTAACCAAATCCTAAGATGAAATAGTAATTTGACACTTTATATATATTCTTCCGATTACTAATTTCCGATGTCTAAGACTAGTAGTTTTCATTATATACTTTGTTGTAAAACCTCTTATTTAATAAGAAGCCAAAAACCAGTTCGTATATTTAATCTGTACCCTATGACAGATACATTCAGCATTGACATTTGACAGTTAATATAAGGACTAGAACATGGAGAATTTGTGTGTTTGACACGGTGCCAGTATACCTATATCCGAAATATAGATGCTTAGGGAGTAAAAATAATATTGTAAGAATTAAATAATGCAGTTGTAGCATTTATTATATACTCCAAATATTTGAAAGGTTTATTACAGTGATTATAAGTGCTAACACGACGTAATCATGGCGGATCCTCTTAGTTTACTTCGACAATATAATGTAAATAAAAAAGAAATTGTTGAACGTGATAACCAAGTGATATTTGGAGAGTTCTCTTGGCCGAAAAATGTTAAAACTAACTATATTATGTGGGGGTGAGTAAATTTGACATTAAGTAACCTTTTTATTTCATGTTAAGCATTTTGAAGCTTATGTACACGATTTATTTAATAATAAAAAAAACTTTATTTCTAATATCAGGTCAGGGAAGGAAGGTAGCGACAAAGAGTACTATACCTTGGAATGCTTATTGTATATTCTTAAAAATATTACGCTTCCCCATCCTATGTATGTAAAGCAAGCAGCTGTAAGTAAATTTCTTGCATTATTCTACTTCAAGTGGGAGCAAAATGTGACAGTGCTTATATTTTTCAGGCTGCTAACATTCCACCCGTACGACGTCCTGATCGAAAAGATCTACTTGCATATTTAAATGGAGAGACAGCAACTTGTACATCAATAGATAAAAGTGCACCTTTAGAAATACCGACACAGGTCATTGGCTAATACAATACAATATATTTTGTGTACTTTAATTATTTCATTCAAAAGAATGTAAAAATTAACAATAAGCCATATAAATTTCAGGTAAAACGCTCCCATGATCCAGATGGAGGGGAGTCAGCGGCCAAGAAACCTCGTATTGAGGAAACACATGTTCAGAAAGTTCGTGAACAGCTTGCGGCTCGTCTGGATGCCCCAAAGGAAGCTTCCGTTACTGTGGATAACATAAAGTATGATTCATATCTCTATGAGACCAACTTTTTTTCCAGGAATAATGATGTGGAAAGTAACTATTTATGGTATTTTCTATTTTAGATCTCTCTCAGAAGCTATGTCAGTAGAAAAAATTGCTGCCATAAAAGCTAAGCGTCTTGCTAAGAAAAGGACTACCATAAAAAGTAATGATTACGCTGACACATTAGGAGTAGTCGGATCTGACTTAAGGGCTATTCTCGACTACGATGTAGATCTGACAAAAGATATTATTAGTAGAGAAAGACAATGGAGAACTAGAACAACAGTATTACAGAGCAATGGAAAGGTTAATTACTATTGATTATTTCTTAAGATGTCATTAACTAATTACTCGTTTATAAACAATTTTGTTGTATTAATATTATTCAAAACTTTATAAAGTTTAAAATAATCTTTCTATATAATACCCAATTATTTGTTTTATATAGCCATGGTTATTGCTCCAAGTGTGTAGCATATAAATATAAATGTCATTGCTTTTAGACTTTTGCTAAGAGCATTTTAGCATTGCTCGGAAGCATCAGAGCTAGAGAGGAAGGCAGGCCGGGAGCAATGAGGCCCCAACCAGTTGTGATGCCACCGCCTGCGAGTATACCAGCACAGCAAACACAATACAACAGATACGACCAGGAAAGATTTATTAGGCAAAAAGAAGGTAATGAAGATGTAATAATAATAGTCTTTTAAATTTCATTTAACTGTATAATGTATTAATTGATGTCTACTTTGTAGAAACCGAGGGCTTTAAAATTGATACTATGGGTACATACCACGGTATGACACTCAAGTCGGTGACAGAAGGTCCTAGCGTGCCGGTGTCGGCTCGCACACCACAAACACCAACTCACACTCGACCAACTCAACGTAAGTGATTTAATTAATACTTATTAGAATAAGAACTAATATTATTTTAGTACTTCTTTAAGTAATGTTAGAACTGCTCAGTTTTACAGTATTAATAAAGTGTCATATTTGATTCTTAAGCGGTTTTTACACATAAGTTAATCTGCTCATTCAAATTAAATAAAATTACTTTTGGAGGTTTTATTCCCATGATTACTCTTTCATGAAACAAATACTGAGTCAAAATTTATGTAAGTCAATATAATCTATGCGTTGGAACAACATTTATATTTTTTATGCAAAATGCAATATACGAAATCCATTAAGCAACTAGTAATTATATAATTTTATGTTTGAGTTTATTAAAAACTACTAAATACATGTATGTGTGTACAAACTTTTTACATATAGTAGCTTTCCCGCCGCAGCTTCGCCCGCGTGGAGTTTGGATATATCGCATTTCCAAGAGAACCTTTCAAAAGTCTGGAATAAAAACTATCTTTCTCAAGGTCAACTCCATCTCTGTACCGAATTTCATTAAAATTAGTTCAGTGGTTTAGGCGTGCAAGCGTATCTTCCATTGTTAACGCCCCCGCAACCCCCCTTGTGGGTGGAATTTCGTAAAATCCGTTCTTAGGTGACTTCTACTCGGCGAAAGGAATAATCCTACCCAATTTCAAGTCACTACGTCTTATGTTTCCAGAGATATCGTGATGAGTCAACATACAGGGTGACTGGTGAATTACTATCAATATTTAAGGAGAATACTCGGTACATGATTCTCATTCGAATTATGTAAAAAAAATAGGTACTTAATTTTTGACAAAATTTCCGTATAAATAAATAGTGTTGACACGTTCCAAGTGTTCCAAGTGTGGACGCGTGCGGCGGCGTGCTGATACAACACTACGCCGCCACACGCGTATGTGTGTGTGAGTCTATACCTAATCTGTAGGGCGTGCACACGATGCGTAATTAATTACATAACTTTTGGTTAACTTTACTTAGAAGTTTATTAATATTTATGTTATATTAATTTTTATTTTGTCATATATGATCGTCAAATATCACGTCCTCAAGTATCGATAGTAATTCACCAGTCACCCTGTATAGGTGGAAATCTCTTTTATAGGGGAGAGTCGGTTATATCGTACCACTTTTCACTTTAACTCAAATATTTCGACTATAACACATCTTATAATAATTAATACATATGTAAAATAAAGTTTCATATTTTGGCTTCCTAAGAAGAAGAGAACAGATCGTTGCGATTATTCTAACATTGTTAAAAATGCTTTTTTATAGAGGCTTTCCATCGGTACGATTTAGCCGACTAGTCGTTTTAATCGTACCACTAAGTCTTTAAATCGTACCATGGATGTTTAAGTCGTACCACTGAATGAAAGACATTAAAATTCTCAATCAAATTATTTATTTTTAACTCTTAGGTTGTATAAAGGAACTATAAGCTTTCTCAGTAAAATAACATGATTATACTATGATAATGAGATCAATCAATATAACTAATAAAAATGAGACAAAAAAAAACAGTAAACTATAATAATAAAGTAACAGTTAACAAGAATGATATTTAAAATATATATATTGTGCATATTTCTTAATGGAAACAATCATGACAAATGTCTGGATTCGAAGTACACGTCTCATGTAGCCACCGTTTACAGCGAACGCAACTACTTTTGGACCCTTGTTATCGTAGTAAGAACAATTGCACTTTCGACATATATTTTCAAGATATATAATCATCGCTGTCATCATCATCATCTAGTTCTACAACACGTGTCTCTCCTGAATCATCGCTACTGGTGATGGAATGAGATCGTTTCCTCTTATAACTTTTGTTCTTGGCCTTGGGTAGTACTTATTATACGTACTTGTGGTAGGTTATAGGTACTTGCGGTGGGTAGTGGGGTAAACCGTACCAGTACAATTTAACCAACTGCAAGTGGTACGATTAAACCAACTAAGGCATTTCTAAAACAAAAGCAAATATCCGGTATAAACTCAAAACTTAGACACGCAACAAAAACCCCCAATAATCTAGCATACAATTGTGGAATAATAAAAAAAACTGAATAACTATAGCTTACCTTGATTACGAGTTATCTCCTTACGAATGTACGACAATATTTATATTAATTCTTACAAAAAATGTTTTTCTTTTATTACTTGCACAGTTGTTAAATCACGTCGATTTAAACTAGTGGGTGAAGAGGAGTGGTACAGAGCCACGATTTGATGTTGTCAGTGTAGAAAAAATATTCATTAAATGGGAAATTTAGAAGTGGTACGATTTAAATGCTAGTACGATATAACCAACTCTCCCCTATATCATATAAATATTTAAAAATCTTATCTAGCTTTAAAAGGCAAATCGAAAAAACCTCTTCCATATTAAGTATAATTTATATATTAAGCTAAATATCTAATAAGATTAATTACCAATTATTACATATGTACTCATTATATATTGTTGTATTTGTTAGAGAACGGTTCAATCCCGGGTACTCCTGGTCGTCGTGAGTTATTGCCGGCGGCTGCGGCCCGCACTCCGCCCTCTACCGGCAAACGACCCTCGCGCACACCCATCATCATCATCCCCGCCGCCGCCACCTCACTCATCACCATGTACAACGTCAAGGACATGCTGCAGGATCTCAAGTAATACATCACTGAACTATTAACTACTATAGAGTATAGTCTATAAACACTTGTCAAAGAAATTTAAACCATGCAATAACTTTATATTACATACTCAGTTATTTTTGTGCTGGAGAGAGAATTAGATTTTTATTTTGATGAACTAATTATAAATTAATATAGGTAAACAGTTATTAAAGGATATCAAGTTGTTTTAAGTTCCAATCCTTAACACTTTTAATGAATCTCCATTCAGTATAAATAGATGCTGATTTAAATTATTACTGTTGTTAAATTATGTATGTAACCTATAATATTATTTTTTTTAGATTTGTACCCGTGGAGCAAAAGAAAGCAGAAGGCGCTGTCCGAGAAAATGAAGTGTTGCTTCAAAGGAGAAAGGGTCCAGCTGCGGACCAAGTTCCTAATAATGCTACAACAATAACAGTAAGTATAACACAATTATTATACTAATGTATATGTGTATAAATCCTATGTTCTGTATTAATCTTACTTTAGAATATATATAAAAGATATAAATATACCAGATGTAAATTATCACTGCTTGCACTACCCATAGAACAGCTAAACCTACATTGTTCAATTCTTACACACATACAATGATACATCTTTCAATATGAGTGTTCACAGTCAGTTTTTATTTCACTCAATTCATAATTTGTAAAATGATTAATTAATCAAAGAAAAAAACATAGTCTACTAGCACTACTAGGCATCCACTATCCAGCCATTGCGATCATAAGTAAAATTACTAGCTGATTATTCAACACACAAAAACATCACGTCAAAACTCATTTTCTATGAAGAAAATATTTTTATGTGTGTCTCAGAATCTATGAATGTGTTAAAGACACATCTTGCAACCTGATGTATTTACGAAATCATCAAAACTGTACCATATATTCAGTGGCGGCTGTACCTTAAGTGCACTCGTGCGCTGAACCACCAATTCAAAAGATTTAAAAATTACAAAATATTACTTCATCTTTATTTTTAAATTACCATTTTAATATTTATTTTCTAAACATACAAAAACGTTTAAAAAATTAAATTTCTAATTATAGTCAAAAAGTTAGAGCGATTTACTAAACTAATATCTCGTGCGCTTCGGCGAGTGCACGAGGACTGCTAATACATCTTGTATGAGATACGCATCAATACGCCTGACGCGTGAGACAAAAGATAGTTCATAGAAATGTACCGAGTAATGAGTCGGTTCTCGAGCGCCGCACGAGCGACCGAAGATTACCGAGAGCACCCGATGTATGACGAATTGGAATTGAAAAGAATCAAAACTTTTCTCCGAAATACCATGCACTTGCTAAATGCACTTTCTATGTTTAGTATTGAAAAAAATAATTATACAAACAATACCCGATTTTAATAAAAAGGTGATTGAACATTTCGCTTCAGAAAAATGTCGTCGCATTGATTTAATGTTTAAAAAATAAACATATTTTATGTCAATTGGTTTTTTGTTGCATTTTCTAATTTTAATATTTTATTAAAGTGCACCACCAGTTCGATAACCCACCAGCCACTGCATATATTGTAAAGGGTCTATGTTTTGGGCGCTATTTATATTTTTTCACCGTTGTTTATTTCTTTGAGCCGAGAGAAACGCTATAGCTATGAGTTTTTGCTAACATAACATGATCATAATCATTTCACAAACACAGATATTAAGCTCTGTTCTAAACAACCTTTTCTTTAAAAAGTCAGTGAAAACATATTTTTTTGTGATTATATCTTAATGTCTTCTCATGTACCAATGAAGGTTATCTTAAATACTATTTTTTTTTCTAATATATAAAATGTTAATATTTTTCAGGTACCATATCGCGTAGTTGATAATCCTGGAAGACTGTCGGCCGCTGAATGGGATCGTGTGGTAGCTGTGTTCGTCCAAGGCCCCGCTTGGCAGTTCAAAGGATGGCCTTGGGACGGAAATCCTGTTCAAATATTCGCTAACAGTAATAACTCATTACTATAAAACATTATTGATATTTGTCACACATTAAGTATTAACTAAACGCTACTGAAGATATGCATAATGTTTTGACAATTATAAAACCAAATTTAATAATTTACACAGATTATTTCGGTAAATAAATTTGATAATTATATTAATAACATAAAATTACTAATATAAAGACCTCTTCAAATAATGAGATCTAAGATTTTCGCGAGTATTCATTTAAATGAAACTAGTATTTTCAGATTTACTACGCGATTTTTATTTTTGATTATAAACTACATACTCTCGACGTTTCGGCTATTTTATGAAATGTGAGGACACATCTCGTCGGCCCGTGGTCACGGTTGCTGAAAAGTAGCCGAAACATCGGGAGTATGTAGTTTATAATCAAAAATAATAATCTACAAATAAGTTACATTGATGTTGTCAATGGATTTCAATATAATAACTGTGTTCTAAATGTTCATGTTATTTCCTTTCATTAGTTTGCGCGTTTCATCTGAAGTTCGACGAGTTGAAGCTGGATGCGAACGTGGCTCGCTGGGCCGTCACAGTACTGAACCTTAGTCGCACCAAGCGCCATCTAGACCGGGCCGTGTTACTCGCTTTCTGGGAGACACTTGATAAGTATGTAAACCATATAGAACCATAAATAATAGACAAACAGACACGCACACAATACGATTAAATGAAACTAAGTTTCTCGGAGATATACGCGATTTTTATTACTTTTTTACTACTTTTCAGAATTAATAACATACAGACGGGATTGAAGTGTCTTTCGTTCGTCGAAAATCTTAGTTGCGATTACACACATGTACACACACTCACAAATATACAACATATTCATCATGAGCACGAATACATATATAGCGAAACGTCTTAGAATAGCCTATATCAATTAAGTAGACATATCTTTATCTTTATATATATAAAAATTTCGTGTCACGTGTTTGTCCGCTATGGACTCCTAAACTACTAAACCGATTTTAAATTTATTTTGCATTCCGTGTTCATTTTGATCCAACTTGAAAGATAGGATAGCTTACATTTCAATTTATAGTCACAATATTATTTTATTGGAAATTATTTGTCTATTAAAGAAAATTATTTGTCATTATTACAATTATCTGTTGATTGAGTTAAGTATTCAATAGATGGCGCTATGTTAAAAATACAAACGTCATATATGAGCGACTATTTAATAATAGCATAACCACCACGTATTAATAATTCTGAGGCTAAGGTACCTATAACCTAAATTTATTTATTTAAAAAAAAGGAACAGATATTTCTTGATTATAGGGCGATACGAAGTTAGCCGGGTCTTCTAGTAATATATAAAAAGTGGTTACAATAATAATACAAATGAGTTACAGTGCTTTGTTCTGCTCTGTTGTATCTTGATTAAACCTTTCCATATGCAAGGTTATCCACTACACCTCCACCTGCCTAATCTGAAATATCATACACAAATCTCCAGACAAAACAATTGATATTAATTTTCTGCAATACACATTAGTTACAATTTTATAGTTGTACGAAAAATAGTTCAAGGTTATTATTTATCAGTCTTAACAGAATATGTTTCAAAAACATCACATTTACTTTTTGCATTATTGCTAAGTAGTTGAAATCCCAAAACCATTTTTTAGTTTGAATGTGTACTTCCAAAACTCAAAAGTTTCATTAACAGATTTATATTCAATACATATTTATTATTTAAAAAAAAAAAAAAAGTTCTTGTGGTGGTTAGTGATAGTGGTTATTAAAGAATATATATAAAAATACTGCTATCATATATTATATTCCATGAATTTTATCTGATGCATAAAAGGATATTAACATGATTAAATTGAATGTTAGTAAATAATATTTAAAACCTTCTCTTTTGTTTCAGACACATGATGAAGAATAAACCGCACCTTAGGTTCTAATATTGTTGTAGCATTATAGATTTTTATTCTATTATAATAGATTATTGTGTGAATATCTAAGACGCCTTAAAGCAAAGATAATCTAAGTCAATTCCTACCATTTAACAAATATTTTGGCTTCATACAATGTTTTGTTTATATTAATATCAAAATAATATATTTATTTTAAAGCAGTGACCTAAAGCTATTTAAATTACTTCTGTAATCTATTTTTTATTTCAATTTATTTGATTTTTTTTGACTGGACTTCATCTGTCTCTACTAATCCTTATACATAAATAAGAAATTGCTGGCCTGTGATATAAATATGTAATAGATAATTAATAACGTTTTGTATATAATTGTCCTTCTTATACATATAATTCAGTTCTCATGTTTTATTTAATACTAAAACCCGTTGATAGTATATAAGATGAATCAGGGGCCTTATAGTCAGCATAAGGTTTCAGTCAAAATAATCAAAAATTTTAAAAAGTATATATTTTTATATAAAAAAAATATGAATGTCCATTGAACTCTTTGAAACCCATTCACCTTTTTTTAAATTAATTGCTTATAGTTATAAAATCTTCTTTGTATAGGATAATTTCTATTTTCTTTCCAATTTTATTACCCGATACAATTCACTGCTCCATTATAGTACAAGTAAGATTAATATCAATTTGTGGAACGCTTCAGTTAGCAACAGTCAATAGATGGACGGAGTTACAAAATATCAATTGACGACGGTTACATTCTTAACAAGAGTCAATCGATTTAATTACCTTACAATTTTAATATTAGACATTTCATTATTTTATTGGCAATAAAATACTTTAAATAGTTTGCTTATATTTTTATTATTATATAATAAATAATTTGATTTTATATGTAAGCCAAAATCTTTATTAAATGGTAATGAAATGTTCAAAGATCTGTGATCTTTGTCTATAAACAACAATAAACTGTTGACCCTTTTGTTGTGTTTTATTTTTAATATCCCTTAATTTTCATTATTTTATTGAAAAACAAAATGCAGATAAATGAAACATTTATAATTTTTAAATGTCTTTATTTAAAATTTTATTATATTGGTAGTGTATAACAATAAATAAATCTGTTTTCCATTTAAGATAAGTACATAGGTTATTTGTATAGGTATTCGTTTTTTTTAATTATTTGTACACAAAATTAAACCATTTTAGTTTTACCCATAACAATATCACATCGTTACGTGTAAGTGTGCCCGAACGCTTAACATACAGCGAAAATTAAATTCATATGTAGTTTTAGATTATACCAAAATAGTTAGGATTTGGGGGCCATTCATTATATCTAAGGGTTTCACTACGATTTTCAGTTACAACTATTCTATAAGAAAAAACACTACAGTGTTTCTCATGTTTCAAATAGTTTATAATACTAAAAATATAAACCGATACATGTATAATCCATTACACTACTGATATATTAATTTCACTCATTTTTAAACAGTATAGAAATAAACAAAGCTTAATATTTAAAATCAAATAAAAATGACGACTTAATTTTGCCCCGGTAAGGAATGATAGGACCAATATTTACCGGTCGCAAACATCAGCAGACTTGGTAGTAAAGTTAGTTAAAACATAGGTAGGTACTTTAGTCTTTAAAAAAGAGATATTGTAACTCCAAGCATATTCATCAATAATAAATTTAATTAACTAACTAATGAGCAAAATATATAATTTTCGTACAAAATAACACATTTATTAAATTTTTCCTAAATATCTCTTAAGATCTGAAAGTATTGCAAAGAGTGAAAATATAAGATAAAATCCTATACGTTTAATATTTTACAATTAAAGTTAAACTAAAAATGACGTGAACTATTTAAACCATGAGTTTAGCACAATAACTCATAGTGATGCGAAAGAGCTTCGCGCTGAGAGATTTGACACGAATCAGAAAAGTCAAACAGCGATGTAAAATGTAATACAGTTCTGTTTCGATATTTCAAGTTTTTTATCTTGAAATATTATATATTTGTATTTTTGTCAAAATTGAATATCGTGTATAAGTTTAATAATAGTCTTTCACATATTTTCGTTCGGTTTATTTTCAAATTCTATCGCAAATATTGTTTAAATTTCAAACAATTTGATTTTAATAAAAATTACATTACCGTTTTTTGACAAAGGACTACATTTCGCAAAACTCTGTAGAAATTTGCGTAGCATTTTAGCCAAATCTCGATGCACATGCTCTTGGGAATGATTCGTGCAAACTAATGAAATGGGAGATGAACGGTTTCTTCTAAAATCTATCTAAATTAATCGGCTTAACAGTAACAATAAAAAAAAGGTTAAGCCAATAGTAAACATAAGGTTATGCAATATATTATTATTTTTCAAAACATTCATACTCCGATGAAAAAAAATATATAAAAACAACAACTGTATAAAGTATTTATATGTTAATTATATGATAATAATTTTAAAATATAAAAAGGAACCTGTTATATCAGTCAAAAAATAATTGATTTTACATACTGAACGGTCCGAATATTTTCTTTAGGTTTAGATTACAATTTAATACAATTACAATCTATCACCGAATATTAAGAAAGAATCTCAAAGAAATAACAAGTACCCAAAATATTTCGTTTTAAAATGCTTTTTTAAAGTCCAGCGCGGACTATCAATATTCAAAAGTCGTCGACGTTGGCACCACTTCTAGAACCATCTGAAGAAACACTGTAATTTTATCTGAAAACAATAAAGAATATTATTGACAATTCACAATTTTTTTTATATTTAACGGCTAGTAAGTACTGTTTTATTTCTTCTTGTCTATGGTTTTAATATTACAAACAGTTTAGTGAATTTGATTTGATTTTATCTATAGTAAACTCACCCATGAAGGGAAGTGAGTATCCCCACTTGACGAATGGCAGGTAGACCAGCAGGCCGGCGAGGATGAAAGCTCCCGCGTACAAGTACTCCCACTGAGGCTTGTCTATGATCGGAGCGACCACCAAGTACGCGGACACAATCAGGACTATGTAGGGAATTATAATCGGCACCTATATAAAGAGCGAGTTATTAAGGGAATAAAGAAAAGTCAAGATTTTTGGTTTATAACAGTACGATGAGTTTGATCCGTAACATACATATATTAATTGCTCTTTCTACGACCGATCGTATTTCTTCCTTTTTTTGTTTATAAATATAAACATAACATTCTAACATTCCTAAACTTATATATTTATTCGTACCTTGTATGGTCTAGGCGCGTGGGGCTTGGTGTATCTCATCACAATCAACGCCAGCATCGCCCCACCGTAGAATATCCAGGCAGTGAACGAGAAGAAATCAATTAATGAATCTATGGTTCCGTACAGCACCATCGCCACCGCTATCAGAGACTATAGAACATTGTGTTATTAGCGCTAAGAAAATATAAACATACTTAATTCATTAATGTCAAATCTGATCTTACATGGAATATAAGTCCTGGGGCGGGTGTAAACCGACGTACGTGGACATACGAAAGTATATCCAATAAATGACCCTCCCGAGATGCCGCGAAGCACAACCTGGTAGAACATTTGAAATTAGGATATATCTTGCAAAAGACCTAATCCTGCTATAGATTTCGCTTATATATCCGAATAGTGAAGATGAATCCTTATCTCTTACAGTCAAAAATAAAAACTATAGTAAAATCAATGGAATCTTTAGAATAGGATAAATATTGCAAAAGACGTAATCCCACTCTAGAATCTAGATTCCGCTCGTTATATTTAAATGGAAAGATGAATACCTAACTCTAACAATCAAGACTCAAAAGTCAAAACTATAGCAAAATCAATAGAAGCATTAGAAATTCTACATTTAATGGAATTCGAATTACCTTCCCGCAACAAATAGAGTCCCATTTGCGGAGCCAAAAGTTGATATAGTAACAGCTAGCGGCATCAGCCAGGCCATGGGTCCTAAGAGTCTGTTCCCGAAGGTAACAGCGACCGCCTCACTGTCCGCCATCTCACTCACAGACATCACCGCCAAGTACGACACGTTCACCAACGCGTAGCACAACGTCACCAGCGGAATGCCGATTATTATGCTCAGAGGCAGATTCCTTAAGTAACATATAAGGAACGTAACAAACAACATACGTGTACATACTCCTATCTTATTTCCTATATAATACGCTACTATTAAGTTATTACAAGAAAGCCTAACGATCTAAGTTTGATGTCAGTACTACATAAGTGCTAAATCTTACTTCCAAAATTACATTTTTCAATAATCGATTAATATTTTTCAAGTATTGCAACTTTTTTTATTAGGTTTACAATATTATGTATTGGTTTTATATCGACTCCTATTATTCCTATAATACATGCTACAAATAATGTAATACATATTTAAATAAAGTATCGTCACTACATATGCGAGCCCACTCACTTGGAAGGATTTTTAATTTCCTCTGTAACATAATTAAGATTATTCCATCCATCGTATGCCCACAGTCCGGTGTAGAAGGCCGTGGCGATGTTGCCAAGCGTCGCGGTGCTACTTGCGAAGTTGGGCTCCTGTAAATGTCGCGTATTACCTGCACCATACGACACAACCTAATGTCAGTCTGTTCACTGATTAGCCCCAAATATTAGGATTATATGGACCATGATGTGTGAATGGGATGAATTTATGTATTTGATTTAAATAATATGATTTTTTTTATGGATCATGTTATATATATTGTATGTAATGTGGTTGTTTTGTTGTATTTGTATAGATATACATATATGTACTTGTCGACTTATATTATTACCTAAAATGAGTTTGTAAGCTCCTCCACAGACGATTATCGCGATGGCGACCAGTTTCGCAGCAGTAAAAATATTTTGGACGTTCGTCGCTAGATTGACACTGTAGCAGTTGACGGCAAGAATCATCACTAAAATATGTGGAAAAATATAATTTTATATAAATTTCTTTCAGTTTCTCATTCCCTTAAACTTATTGTGGTTTATAGTAAATTACAAAGAAGTTACACACAATTTCGATAGACAACGAAAAATGCTACTAAGGATATTTTAATCTACATATAAATTTAAAACTTGATTCGTTTTAACAAATATCCGTTTCCTCAGCTCACACATAAGAAAGAAAGAACAATAGTAACTACTGACAGTCTCGTATCTCAAAGTTGTGCTTAATACAGGGACTCACATATGAATAACAAAAATTAAGATAAAAATATATGAATAACTGTCTAGTTCTACAATGTTGACAAAAAAAAACGACCTATGGATTTGATAACATAAATAAAATTTGTCTACCAATAGATATGAGTGCCACAAGTTTGACGAGAGCGTCGGGCGGTTCACACTCTGACACGAAAGGCTCCACCGCATATTTTGCGAAGCTCAAACAGATTATGGCCATCTGAGACGGCTTCAGCACCAGCGTTGACACCTATAGAGATATTAAAATGAGCTTAGCCTATAATATACAGGGTGACTGGGGAATTACTATCAATATTTAAGGAGAATACTCAGTACATGATTCTCATTCGAATTATGTAAAAAAATAGGCACTTAATTTTTGACAAAATTTCCGTATAAATAAGTAAAGTGTTGACACGTTCCAAGTGTTCAAGTGTGGACGCGTGCGGCGACGTGTTGATACAACACCACGTCACGACATGCGTATGTGTGAGTGTCAGTGTATACCTAATCTGTAGGGGGTTCATACGATGCGTAATTAATTACATAACTTTTGGTTAACTTTACTTAGAAGTTTATTAATATTTATGTTATATTAATTTTTATTTTGTCATATATGATCGTCAAATATCACGTCCTCAAATATTGATAGTAATTCACCAGTCACCCTGTATACTATATTGATAAAAAGTCAATACTATATGATTTTTTTTACCCAAGAGAAGAGGAACGCCGGTGGTCCACCAAAAGCGTCCATAAAGTACGCGTACTCAGCTCCAGAGGATGTATTCATCGTTCCTAACTCCGCGTACGCGAGCGCTCCTATATAAAAATTAAATATATAAAAAACATTTATAAGAAATCAATAATTCATTAATTGTTATAAATACCTAGCAACGAGAGTAGCCCACACGCCATCCATATAATGAAGCTTATGCCCACTGAGCCTGTACGCTCCAAAAGCCCAGAGGGCGACACGAATATTCCAGAACCTTAAACAAAACATCGTACATTTTGATTGAAACGAAGTTAAGTATTGACTATTTTTATAAGGCATTTTGTCTCATTACTAATCAAACCGTAAAATATAAGACGAAATTACGCAAATAAAACAAATCATAAAAATTTTAAGTTTTATTTCATCTATATTCAGTATCATATGTGTAACAATAGAAATGCTATTCAACATAATTTACTGAGAATGACGTAGACCCTTGTGATTACAGGTAACGTGACACAAGCGCATTGTGTCAATCAATATTTTATAGATTTATTAAGACAGTAGTGCATCATTTATACTTAATTCTAGGTCATATATACTTCAATTAGCAGAAGTAAATTGCAGTGTCAAATTACAAGTATTAAAATATGACTACATGTAACAAACGAAACCAAATATATGTGTATATGCTTGTATGCATTTTTATTGATAATGTACTGGACTTCATATATGTTATATTATTCATAAAGAATATAGAAAAATTAATTGTCAAATTTATGTTAGTATTATTATTAAAAAACTTTTATATCTTTGTCGAAGTTCTAATTATGACTGAATGATACCGAAGACTTGCTCATATTATTAGTTTCGACTATATATACAATGTATATGAAGATTTATTTAATCCCCCGGGTATGTATATTGTAATAAATAAAACGCAAATAAGAGATGACACATCTATTGTCCAGCAGAGTTATAAAATGTTAACCTTGCAAGTATAACTCATAAATATTATGTACATTATGTATAAATATTATAACAGTCGAGATTATATAAGAAAATATTGTTTCAATAAGTTTGTAAGTCAGATGTTAAGCAAATGTTAGTTTTTACAATGTATATTTACTCAAAACACTTATTTATGGTCAGAATTAAAAATAATAGCAGATGTTTAAGACTTCATACATTTATTATGCCCTTTTCTATGTACCAATACTTAATTTTTTTATGTTTTTCTAGCATATATTTTCTAAACATCTACTATTTTATCTGAGGTTTAAAAGACTTGATTATCTTACAGTGAACTTTTTTAATTCGACTGCGAAAAGACATTGGCTATGATCGATATGTGTACATCCACTTGACACTTTATATTTGTGTTCTGATTAGTAAGAATAATATAAGTACATAATAAAAATAAAGAAATAAGTGATAAAATTAGCATATTTGGCACATTTACATGTCATCATCATTTAAGTAAAATACATTAAATATAGCGTCCGTTTCGAATTTATGTATCGTGTGTCCTAGACTTTATTTATAATTATAGGACTCAGAATACTAACTTTGTTATATGATATCATTTATTTTTAAACTAAAACAATGAACACACATTTTATTTTATGTTATAATACTCTCAGTATTATAACATAAAATATTTATTTTAGGATTTTTAATTTTTTTTATTCATATAATATCTTCACCTATTTGTATTCGTCATGTTCAACGAAAATCTAAAATTATTATTCATTAACCTATTAAAGTTTTCGACGAACCAGACATCTGACATGCACACAACAGCAGCATTAAGAAGATTCATCACCGCATCGTACACGAATATAAATTTAAAATGTAATAAAAACTACAAAGAAAAATCTATTTTTATGTTTCTTAATCTCAATATTCGCAGATTCCTTAAGAAACGAAAGTATTTATAGAATTTGTTAATTACTAAATTTCTTACAGTGTTACATAACTAATAAGAAATGTGGTATTTTGACGGAATTTCCATATTGAAGCTCACATAACGTTCCTTTTTAAAAATATACTTATGTATTACTAGAAGACCTGGCGAACTTCGTATTGCCCTATAATCAAGAAATATCTATTACGTTTTTTATTTATATTTTTGGAGTTTACCTGTAAGCCATAAATCTCGGTGTTTTGAAGTGCGACCGAATGATTGACATATTAGTTAGTTGTCAAATCTAATGTCAAAAAAAACGTTTGTATGGGAAATAGAAAAGGGCTGTTTTTATGGTTTTCCCAGTAATGAATCAATTTTTTTTCAGCTTTTATACCTTCCCTGAACCTCCACGAATATTTCAAGACTACGATAAGATAAATCCGTTCAGCTGTTCTCGAGTTTTAATGAGACTAAGGAACAGCAATCCATTTTTATATATATAGAAGATTATACACAATACAAATGTGTATATAAATTTATAGATCTCGCTTTTACGTTCTAAACTTCTAGTGTAAAAATACCATAAAGAGTTTAGTACGTATAATTCCGAGCATAAAAAATTGAGATTAAAAATTATACAAATTAATGTATTACTAAAATAACTCCGACAACGCTGCTCTTTAAAATAAATGTATCTGTTATTATCTGTGACATCTATCATCACGCATGTCTCGGCGCCATTCACTCGGAAGGATCGAAGTGATTTGTCAAAAAGTAGTAAAAATATTATTATTTTACATATTTTATCGTAACATTTAAACATTAATAAAAGTGTGTCAGATTGCTTAATATGAACACGACATTATTCGATAAGATTGTACCACTAAATGTTTTGTCCTCCAAAGGTATTAAGGGATCTAGGGTTGAATGACAAGATGAATGGCGTATATTTTAAGGAGTGAATATTTTTAAAATAATTAATTATAAAGTGAAACTGTGTTCTACAGCAGTATATAATGTAATATATTTTTTGAAATATTTGTATATTTGTTATAGAAAAGATTATTATCGTTTCTTAATTGAATGTAAAATTACAACTAAATTTATCAGTTATTCTTTATTGAGGCAATGTAGTGGTAGGGACTGTCCCTGTATTTGTTATCAGTTGTAAAGTATTCGATATTCAAATCATTATAATTTTACGCATACATACCTATACAAGTATAATGAATGTAGTCAAAGTAACTCTTTGTATGTGTGTGTAAATATGTACATTTGTGAGTACATGTAAGTGTGTTTCATTCAACGACTCACACATTGAGTGAATGAAAAACATTCATATATAAACTCACCGATCATAGTACCGACGATTAGAGCCACCCCACTGAAGAGTCCCACCCGTCTCTTGAGGTGAACAGGGTCGTCCGGAGCTGCGTCCGACCCCTCCAACTATTAAACAAACATAATTAAGACCAAAACGAATATTAAAGAAGTAAATGACTATTTAAATGAAACTAATATTTATGAATTACTACGAGTATTTTTACGACGAGATGTCACATCTCGTCTGCCCGTGATTGCTGTAATGAAACCGAAACGTAAGGAGTATGTAGTTTTTAAAAATAATAAAAGTACGCGTAGTAATCCGTAAAATATTAGTTTCATTTAAATGAATGATCGCGAAAGTTTTAGATCTCATCAAATCAATATTAGTATTCCATAAATGTAACATTTTTACTTTGTAGATCTAAACTTTAACCTTGATAAGTAGAACATGAAATTCCCTTTCAAGGGGATTATAAATAAATCCACCGTATATGAGAGTGGGTTTAACATTGTATAAGTTTTAATCCCTGCCTGTTAAGAGTAGGTATATTCAGACGAGTCAGACAATTGACGACCTACATACTTCACTTATTGATTGAACTATTTAACGAGGGGGCCGTAATAAACCTTTTGTTGAAAGGAAAGTTAAGACATAAGAGCTTTCAATTGTTTATCATAAGAAATTGTGAGATGAAACTATATACATATATATTTTATTGTAGATAATTTAATATACTTTCTATCATGCATTTTTATAGCGCAAATAAATAAAGGAAGTGTTCTACCCCAGCCAATCTTTATAGCAGTATTTTATTCTTAAACCTTGACCTGAAAAGATGGGGTCATGAACATATGAGGGAAGATTCATAGTATGTTTATTGAAATGAAATCATATTTACATACTATTATGTATGTATATAGAGTTTGAAAACTATCCTCCTATTATGTTTACCTTAGACATATTCCCAATATTATAATAACGTTGGGTACATACGTTAAACAAATATGTATTTTGCTTTAAACTTAATGTTACCATTGAATCATTTATTTTAAAAAGTATATATTTAAAAAAGACATTATAGCATATGTGCATAATTCAAATAAAATATATTACTATGTAAAGAAATCTTTTTTAAAGATGATTATTCCATTTTTTTAAAGTTCAGAAACACGCAACTGTATTTGAAATGAAGATCAATAATTTCATATAAAACTAAAATTTCCAATAAAATATAATACACCTACATATCAAAGAACGTATGTAAAATCATTTTCCATATAGAATCTATCATATTTATGATAATATAACATATAGTGACCTCTACCTTGTCTCCTGGGTTGGCGTTGCCATCGGCGAGCGTTCCCGCCGAGCCATCTTCCGCGTCGCAGTTCCCGGAACACCCGCGCCATACCAATCCGCCTTCGCGTGCGCTCCCTGAACAAAAACACACTTTATAACAAAACTATCACTTAAACTTAACATATGGCCAATGAGAGCTAAGACTTTCGCTAGTATTCATTTAAATGAAACTAATAGTTTTCGGATTACTAAGCGACACGCTTACTTTGCACGGTTGCTGAGAAGTAATCGAAACGTCGGGAGTATGTAGTTTCTACAATAATAAAAAACGCATAGTAATCAGAAAAATATTAGTTTCATTTAACATACGGACATCGATATTCATTGTGTTCAAGCAATATTTGATACGTCGGACAACTAAGAAGAGCTAATAGTGATCAGCAGTATAAAAATCCATTACCAAAAACCATAGCGAACGACAGAGTTCCGTGTAAAAACACCTTTATTATTATTATGTTTAATATTTATACTAAGAAAATTGTGTCGGCGTATTCATATATAAACTTTTCCATATGTCGGACTCAACACCACCTAACTGTACTCACAGTCTGATACTGCTAATAAATAAATTATTTTTTATCTTCCACCTAAAATTGATAACAATAAAAAGTACGTACGACTTTTCTCCAATGTCAGAAATTGCTATTCATATATTTTTCAGAAAGTCTATGTCTCTTTACTAAAAACGTTTATTGAAAATATTAGTTATCCATTCAGGATCACGGCATCTTAAGTTAAATTATAAACAACTTTTCAATCATTAAAAATATTTTAGAAGATTTTTATAAGTAAAAATAAACCTTGAAGTAATTAAAGTGATTAATTTAGCTTTACCAGCATACATGTTCTTTAATATCAAAATAACAAGTACCTATAAATAATATTCAATAATCTTTAATACAAACAAAATAACAAATACACACAATGAATAACAAATATAAATTATCCCTAAATTGCACCTGTGACATCGCTTCCCTATTTATAGGTTTGATGTTCATTTATAGTTTTAATGTTTTAGTTCGGCCATTCACAAAAAAACTATATTATGCTATAAATCTACCTTAAAACATATTTTCTTTGAAATCTATTCGGGTATTGTGGTTTTATTTAATAGCTATTACAAACATACTAAGTTTCAAATCATATTATAAGCAGAAGTGTAGATGTGTAGTTAAAATTGATTATACCGTTTGGTTAAAATTTATATTTTTCACAGCTAGAATATAACTATTACCACTGTCATAACAATACAACAAACACATTAAAACAATTAAAATATAAGTAAATACATTCTACATATAAATCTTTCTGATGATCACATGCATTTCATGACAATATTCTTTGAATCTGTTTATTTAATCTAGTATTTTCTAAGAAAAATCAGATTGTCATAGAAAACAATAGCAAATAAAGCCATTTGAATTAATGTTTTATTACAAATATTTACGGAAAAAGGCGATCTTTAATTTAAAATATTTATATAAACATTTCAAACAACAATCGCGAAAATAAAACCTTTTCTAGTTTTAATTAATTAAAATTACAAATTTCCCGTCACCAAATTTGAAGGACATTTGAATCTGTATCTAAATAAAATTCTACCTCAGTCTGTGATATAAATAAAGTAAATTCTTTAGTGGGTGGAATTTCTTGTATTTTAGAATGATTCCTCTACATAAGAAATACGTTGCAAAATAATTTACGAATTCCTTACTTTTGTTTATACAAAGATAAAATTAAATTTAACGATTTCATAAATTAGAAAAGGGTATACGAAATAACGTTCCCGTTGAAATATTGAGATAATTTAAATGACAGTATGATATAAATTGTTTGCTAATGTTTTCGCGTAATCCAGTAGCAACTATTGTTTTAGTAGTTACTTCGTTGTCTTGTGCCAAGCCGACATTATCTCGGAGCTAACAAGCGATACTTATTACTTCTGATTTGTCAGTACAACGATCAGAGCTCTCTTTTATAAATTTAAGAGAGTATCTCTTCTATAAACGAAACTATGTAGAAATACTATGTATATTTGAATGCAATGTTTTTAAGTACTCTACACTACGAAATTAAATATTTTGTTTTAAAATGATATTGAACATGAGAGATTAGTCAAAAAAATCCTAAAAAAATATATTGTATTAAATTTTATTTAGTGAAATAGGAATTAGCCAGATTTGTTACTCAACAGATAATATAATGATTTTAATAAGAAGTAATAAATGAAAAAAAAACATTACTTTAATTTTTTAAACGGCGAAAATCTTCCAGTTGTTATATGTATTAGCTACAAATTAATTTAAACGTCGGTTAAGAAATGAAAATATACGAATATAAAAATCACAGCATATTTTTCTACTTCAAGCAATATAGACGGCTAATTGAATTTAAAAAACTATTAATTTAATTTACTCTTAAATTCAAAAATGAAATAGTACTTAAAAAGTGTAGAGCCGTGATGAAAATTCTAATTAGTTACTTTTAAATGGGACGTCTCAGTTTCTCGTTAATGAAGACGCTCTTTCATTAAAATAACTAATCTTTAATTAAACACGAGTGTAGGTAGAAATGTAATGTATTTTATTAAAATGTCATGTAAGAGTCCACTAACGACTGTACTCTGTATTATACAAAAACAGAAATCATGTCTATTTTATAAGAAGAAAAACATAAAATAAAACATTAAAAGTAAAAAAGTAATGACAGTATTTTTTATTATTATTTTACGTTACCAATATAAAATGCTTTATCTTTATATATTGCTATGTTTTATTTATATTTCGAACACAAATTATGAGTAGATCTATTATATAATCCTAATTTCGCTCAGTAAACGATGTTTTTTTGCCTAAATTATAAATCCCATAGAAAATGTATGTTGCAGAATCGTCTATTTAAGTCCTATATCAGATGTATTCTTTTAAATAATCTCAAAATTCATTTCAAACTTCGTCTTCTTTATAGATAGTAATACTAGCGAGCTCTCGTTACAATCGTCAAGTTGCTTCATGGCATCAAAGCAACTCGACACCACACCACTCCCGGACACGAAGTAAGCAAAACAATATCACACACGTAACAACTCAACATATAGATGCGGATTATTTGGAACGATTTCAACAATCGTATGTAATTTGATTGTCTATGTACCTAGCGATGTTGTTAAATATATAATAAATGTCACACTAATTCTTATTTATTATTTTACTTCTATGACAGTACCTTGTGCATTGTAAAGGTAAAAATTCTATTCATTATTTGTGTACATTGTAATAATGGGATAATTCAACGCCTTTCAGACAAGTGAACAATGGATAATTTAATGAAAGAGAATAACGCACGTAAATCACGTAATAATAAATCGGTGTATAACATTGTAGTGTTTGAAATCACATAAATATTTAAAAATAATTATTTATATTACTAATATTTACCTAACCTTAAGATGAATCGAGGTCATTAATGTGTGAGAGACCATAAAATTTAATATACCTATTTTGTCACATTTTTAGCAGGTTGCAATGTAGTCAGGAGACGGTTTTCACATAGGGAAAAAGGTAAAATTTTATTCTCTAACTAATAACCCGATTAACCGATTTAAAACAAATTTTCATTACTAGATTTCTCATAAGAGTAAACTTTAGGTGTGCTTATATTTTAAGCTACAATAAAATACCCAAATAATAGTTTTTGTTATTGAGTAAAGCCTTTTAAAGTTATAAAATAAATGGAAAACTTTATAAATTTAATAGTAATAATAAAAGTGTTGCAATTAGCAATAATGCTGAAGTTGCACATCAGTACATACAAATAAACCAAAAGTTTATAAAGATGTGTGTAATAAATACTTCAGATAAAACTAACCTGCTGAGTTATTCCAAATGCTACTAACAGATTTTTACTCGAAAATAATAGAAAGGATGATTCAATAGGCAAGATTTACAAGAACACTTCATTCTTCTAATTTCCCTTTAATATCTAAAATATCATATCAGTCTACACGATGCTTAAAATGTATTTTTTTTTCATATCATCTTAATTCAGCAAATTAGAAATAAACTTTAGAAATATAGCTTACGTAGTGGAAACCGTTTTTTTTAAATAACTATTTCAATTTTGTTGATGCAGCTTTAGTTTGAAAATTAACAAGGTCAGACTAAAATATTCATATGCTCCACTTTTGAAATGTGTAACATTACAATAATGGCTGTGAAGACTTCATTCACATAAATCTTTACCAAAATAAACGGATGTCAATCATCGTAGACAAATATAAGATCACACGAGAGGACTTTGATTTTATCAAAGCAGTCGTAAACGTATAGAATGGACGTAACAGTGGAATGAAATTCATCGGAAGTTTTTCACACATGACGCAATTGCACGAAGCTATACCGTCACGTGCGGAAACAAAATAATAATACACTAAGTTTAGAAACCGTATCTTTTGTGGATATAATAAATTATTATCTATGATTATACAGCCAAATGAATCATCGATTACTTGCGTCAAATGAAACAGCAATAATTTAGGTAAATATATGACAAAAAAAATATCCCTAAATTGGCTCAGCTTGATGATATTGATATGAATCACAACATATATGTTATGCCGCAAGTATTTACTATGAAATTCCCCACATGTAGGCTACATAACTTTTATATTATATAATCCATTAGGTAAAAATCTTGAATTGATTTAATCAATATATTTCGTTCAACGAAATTTGTTATCGCAGCATTATTCAGGCTATAAAAATATTTATGTGCTCATTTCATTCTTTTATCGAAAAAGGGGTACTTTTCTAGAAAAAATTTTTAAAACTTAGATTAAAATTAATCAGCCACTGTGACAATGACAATAGTTTTTATCCGTTTCGGAAGAAATAAAGCCCATTATTATATAAAACATTCTACAGATTGATTGTCGCATCAAAAAGCAGCATAAAAGATGCGATAATAATTTTTGGTTTTCATTTACCTTTGAAAAGTATTAGTAATAAATACTATTTTCCCTTTGCGAGTAAATAGCAACCGTTGCTATTTAATATGGTATTTTCATACAAGAATTCATTGTGCCCTAACAGGATTCCAATTAATGGTGTTTACAATTTACTTGTCATTAGAGTTAAAAATACATAAGGCTTTAAAATAAATCTCAATAATAGACTATTATTAGTCGTCATCAGTCTATTAGAGTCCACTCCTGAGCAAAGGCCTCTTTCTCATATGGAGAAGGTTTGAGCATTAATCACCACGCTTGCTCAGGGCGGGTTGGTGACTTCAAACTTATATGTAATTGTGAACTTATAAGACTTTTATTAGTGTGTATTGCATATACCTATATGTTTTTTATTTGCCTTTCCTCTTTATGAAATTTTTTATTACGTTTTTAAAAATCTTTCGTCTCAAATCTTTCAAATTCTTCATTCGCAACGTAAACACCAATATATACATATTTCACAATAAGAAGTTACAAAAACATCGTTTTAAAGAATGATTTTAAAATACAAGATATACAGGGTGACTGGTGAATTACTATCGATATTTGAGGACGTGATATTTGACGATCATATATGACAAAATAAAAATTAATATAACATAAATATTAATAAACTTCTAAGTAAAGTTAACCAAAAGTTATGTAATTAATTACGCATCGTATGAACACCCTACACATTAGGTATACACACACACTCACACAGACGCGGCGGCGGCGTAGTGTTGTATCAGCACGCCGCCGCACGCGTCCACACTTGGAACACTTGGAACGTGTACACACTTTATTTATTTATACGGAATTTGGTCAAAAATTAAGTACCTATTTTTTTTTACATAATTCGAATGAGAATCATGTACCGAGTATTCTCCTTAAATATTGATAGTAATTCACCAGTCACCCTGTATACATATATAAGAAAAATAAAATCCAACTGTTTATTTTTGCATATAAAAATACGTTTAAATCGCCTAGCATATAGGAAAACATTTAGTTATAATCTTTTAGTTAATAGTTTTAGACCCCAAACAGATTTGCGGACTTGGAAATGTACGTGACATTAACACAATTACACGCCCCACAAACGTAACACTTCATGAAACATACCACCTCCTGTTGTTGACAGAAATGGTTGTGTGCCATTTAGAATAGTAAATTTTAATTAATTAAATTTAATATACGAATACCACTATAGAATTTGATACATTAGATCTTCCTAAGACTATTTAGTCACGAAAATAGACCTATTAAGATATTTATACAAAAATATGGTCATTTCATTTGTGGAACATTAAGAATAACAGTTTGAAAAGAATTACATATGTTCACAGGAAAACTCATAAACTTTAATTATCATTAAAAATGTCATTTGTATGTGTATATTGCTTTACTTTCATTATGTTATAACGAAATAATGAAACCACAGATTAAATTTAATTATTGAAAATGTATTCATAAGAAAAAAAGTTCTGAAATTCTTTAACAGTTACATTTATTTAGACTCAAATATGTATATCAAACTTAATAGATTGTAGGTAGATAGATTGTAGTAATAGAACTGAATTCTTAAACTTGAAATAGTAGAATATATTGTGTAGACAGCCAAGATAAAAATATATTATAATTTTTGCAGGTTATAAGCCAAAACAAACAATCCACATTTTACTATCCGTCATAGCGAGGTGTGAAGTCTTTAAAAATAGACAATTAAGATGTTTGTACGTTAGTCATTCAGTTTATTATGTAGTCGACAAAAGAAAGAATGACCAAATCTAATTGTCTTTGAAACGGTAGAGCCGTTAAAATTGCGAATTCTTTTAAATTTCATAGAATTTATTTTCAAGGAATTTTAAAAAGAAAATTTGAAATTAATTTAATTATTAAGACATATGTAGTTATAAAATTATCAAACGTTACTGCAAAATATTTAGCACAGACTTAAGTCGTAATGTCTCGAAAGAAAGCCGAGGTTATCGTACATACAAATTATATAATGAACCTACATTCTGATTTACTTAACGTGTCTAGCTTCGAAAAAATCATTAAATGCCTTTCCTTAATCTAAATCTTATATAGTTTAGATGCTATGAGGATATAGAACAGGTTATGTTCACCTTCATCAGAATAAAGCAGTACAGGATGAGTGGTGCCGTTTTGAAATTTGTCCGTGGTGACAGTATGCGTCTGCGCAGCGATAGAGCCGCGAAGCAGTCTCGCGAGCTTTTCACGCATCGCATCGCTCATACGTCGAAATGTGGCTACGGCGCCGGCGCCACAACCTTAACACTACGAGCCAAATGTCTTCTATTCTTGATATCAAAGACTTTAACACAACGCCAGCGAATTGCACTACACAATATATTGCATGCACTGCACTTTAATTAAATATCGATTTGAGGTTGGACGTTGAACTAAACCGCACTTGCTTGGAAGGATTTATCAATTTATTTATCTTAATTTTTCTTAATATATATTTTGTCACAAATTAAAAGGCACTAATTGAAATAAAATAACAAGTCTGCTAAGAGCTACGGCTCAGGGCGGACTGGCTATTTTGGGGTTCGAGCCAACACGTGGGCGGAAAACAGCGCGCCCCCACCGCCGATCAATGGATGTGATTCGATACCTGACCCCTAAAATTCACTGAATACATCTAATATGGTCAAACGTTTTAATTGCAAAATAATGCAAATTCGAAAAAAAATACTCATAATTTCAAACACACAAATATATATTATAGGTACGTATGTATATAACATATGCCATTAAAAGTAACTCATTAAGAAAATTCAAAGCAAAGGAAAATATATTTCATTTGCGATTACATACATATATGATTTTTTTTAAATATATTTGTTGGTATTAATACAATAAGTAAGTATAAAAATAGACTTGAAAATAGCTTTAGTTATGGTTTAAAGTTAATATAATTTTAAAAAACATGACACCATTTAAAAATCTTAATTAACATTTAAAGCATAATACCATTGACAGATAAATAGCAGTCATGTTTCAAACGCTTATACATATATAATCATGAGTGATTGTCGATCGCACAAGTTATTTTGTGCCAATAAATTAATTGATGTCACATTGCAAGACTGTTTCATCTGATGATTTCGCGGTTACTGATCTTTGAATTACATTTTTTTATCATCTTACGTAGTTTATTGATGGCTATAGAATAATAATTTAACATTATACATATGTTCTATATCACTGTATCAACAGTTCTAGAAAATTCATAACTGCAAAATGAAAACGCATATACGATTTGCTACTAAGTACTGACTCAGTAGATATTTCCAAGCGAAGCCATTAGATACGTATAATTTGATACGCACGGAGACAAGCTGAATATGTAATTTGACAATAATATGATATGTTTTATTTAATTTAGAAATAGCTGGCAAGACATTTATTCATGAAAAACTTACAATTTGTAATATTATTATGCAATAAAAACTTTTCGTATAATTTCTTGTATAAGCACCTTTCCAAATGAGGAAAGTAGTTGGAAAATACTTCGTAAACAATATTATATTATGGGGTAAACGACCTTGTTTACTGATTCACCCCGACTCGTGGACTCCACTCTGTCTGAAATATCCTTTCTAACCTTCAAATGACCTTCAAGATCACAAAAATCTGTTTCAATAGCAATGCAATGTTGCTTTAAGTAAATATAAGACTTAAACGCAAGATTTCTATTGCTCAAATCAATTTACTTATATGTTGAAAAAACCTTTTTTAATACTTGTACTTTTATTTGCTAAAACTATTTTCATATAAGGTTTCTGTTTTTAGAAATATATTTTTATCGTTCTCACAGTTTCTAAAAAAAACATACCTGTGTATAAATGAATGGAAATTAGGACGAATATTAACAGGTACTTATTTTCATTATCAAACATTATGTCGATAAATTACATCGTTAATACATTTAAATTCAGTTCAAACTTTCTTTTGCTTTAAATATAGTAACGAATAAATTACAAATATACGAGTTGTAAATGTGACATGCCATTAAATTTAAACAGAGACAATATAACGTACTGTATGGTAACACTAAATTGATTATGTACGAACAGCATTTCAATCAGAGATCTTTCAATGTGGGACGACTTTGAAACACATTACATGTACGTAATACACACATACGTATAATTAGACGCGACCGTCGTTTATTCTGAGATCGTGTCGTCACAGGACCTCACATGACACGCTATCTACAGCCCAACTCCCAAGTAATAATCAGAACAACGTTTCCTTGACGAATTATATTTGAGATCAATATTCTAATCAGCCTCGGATAACAATGCGGTCTTGTTTCATATATACCTGCCTACATAACAGCTAGTTAGCAATACCTTGTTATCTGTACCTTATTTGTTATTTGTGAACAATTAAAACGCCTTATGTATGATTTTTATTCAGTAATACATATAAATAAAGTTAAAGTGTTAAATAATGTTAATTACATCACGAGAACTCATTTGAATAAACTTTAGTTTAGTCATCCCGCGATTACAATTAATGTTCGGTAAACGACACTTCCGATTAATACTAGTAAAATATTTAAATGGGGTATAAAACTTCTATCATATCCGAAAAATATACAAACTTTTATGTAAAAAAAATATGATAAAATAGATACTTCTTTTAAAGATATATTGAGCTTAAATTTTTTCATGGCCACATATATGAGTTAAATTTCAGAGTAAATATTGTTTCAGATATGCATAACTTACAAAAGACCTAAAAATTTGAAATTCGTTATTGTGAGTAAAACATGTGCGTCATGTCCAATCTATATAGAAAATTTATTTTGACATTACAATGAGACACATTCAATTGATGTATTGATGTGTTAATGTTTCAGATGTCTTTTATATATAATATATTATGTTAAAAGATTTTTTATTAAACGAGTAACATATAATCAAATCCAATATAATATACAATATATAGTTCCGATAAAATATCTCCATTACTAAAAAGAGAAAGATTCTCTACGGACGAATCAATATGGTTCACGCATGCGTCAAAACAGGTTTATATATTTTTTCAGGTTTGAAAAACAAAAATAACTGATTTCACTGTCTTGGATAATTGTTTATTTTTTGTTGTAATTGAAGACGATTACTTTATATAGCTACTACAGTTTTGTGACGGACCATAAACTTTGTTTCACAAAAATTGTTTAAATTGTGTCTGGGTCTTAAAGGTCCAAAAGATTCAATGAAAATAAAACATTTATTTTATTTTGATCACAATTAAAAATAGAAACAACGGATTTAAATGTTTAAATCATAAAAATAATTTGCTTCCATAGACTTTAATTCGCTGTACAAAATAACTTTTTATTCAATATAAAAAAAGGCAACAGGACAAGCTTCACGTTATACTTTTCGATGGATTAACTTTTTTACTTCTCTTAGCCACGGTAATTGACAAGTCATTATAACGATAACACAAATCTTATCTAATCTTACCAATAAATGGGAAAAACGTTTATTGCAATTTGTCCTTGTTAAATATTTTAGCTAATACTATTTTTAAAAATATGAAAACCATTTTTACACGGATCTTCCCTACCTTTCGTGTAAAGTTCTTGTAACAAAAACTGACTAGCATGGAATTCAAACGAACATTTCAAATTGTTTAGTTGTATAGCGTTTTGCGTGATTAAATTCAAATCCATCTATGTATGTATGTGTATTTGTGTACGTGTCTTTGTGTGTCTGTGTGCACACATCATACCAAAATAGAGACAATAAGTCTTTCCGTCAATCAAATTAATAGCCTTCGTAAATTAATTAGCTTGCTACAATTTACCCTTTTTATGTTGCATATAATTTTAGTATGAACAATTCTACAAATTATCTTAATTAATATAGATGACTCGTAATCATTAATGTCTCTCGAGTGTCGGTATCATTTAAGTCTGTCACGTGTTGGCATTGTGAGTATTTTCAATACATTACCATTCATAGGGCATCCCTATAATTTTAATCACAGTAAATAATCAGGGGATTGATATTGTAACTGATTCACGTGAAAAGTACTGAAGTTATTGTCATGGGATTTTAGATTGATAAAATGATTAAACTTTAAAATCAAAAAAGACACATAAAAAGAAAACAATACGGAGAAAAAATTAATTAAAAAAATAATTGGCGTAGGATAATGAGTGTAAGAGTTTTTCCATTTAAAAAATATATGCAGCTGTCTTCTAATAATCAGCTGAATGACTAATAATTACATTAATATATCTTTTAAATCTGCTTATAAAACAATTCCTAATCTTTCTAATAAATAAACTTATAAAGATTATCTATTTGTGGTAGTAGGAATCACTCAGACTCATTATAAAAATCGTGAATCATCAATCTCAACAACGTAGCCTTACATTACGGTAATGAAAATGTTTATGTTATTTAATGTACCGTAGAGGTATACACATATAATTTACATACATAAACGCACTTTAAATGTGGAACAATAAAATGGAAAAACTTAGTACAATTTTTCAGTTTAGTGCCCTTCATCGTACCTTAACATTTCAGCAACAAAAAAAGTATAATTTTTCCTAGCATTCAACGAGAGTATGACGCAATAACGTTTACGGTCTCGCAATACAAAATAAGTCTGAAATTTTCTTAACACAGTCCTATAAGGTCAATGACAGCTGTATTTTGTAATAACTAGGACTTCTAAATGAGTTTTAGCTATTTAGCACACTATTAGACTAAAATATAATAGGATTATATGATCGAATTATTCTTAGAATGTTATGTACGCAAATACGAAATGTTGATTCTATATTCCGTTCTTGCATCAGCCACCTTTATAAAAGGTAGGTTGCAAAAAGTCTGTAAAACTCAAAGTAATATTTGTTTAATAAAATTTATATGTAATATTTTATTAGATATATCTATATGTATTTCTCGAATATTCAAATCTTTAAATATGATACTGTTGACAATATATTTTGTTGTTAATTGGATATGATGACCGATCTTCACTCGTGAATACGTGACATAGATCAGGGAACCGAATTCAAAGCAATATTGCAAACTTAATAATAATATTGTTTGCTTTATTGCACTTTCGATTATTTTCAGCGTAATCTGGTTTTAGGAACTGTTTGTTATCTTTTCAATTTACGTTAAAACATTGAAAAAAGCCTTGAGGTAATAAAAATCCATTTTTATCTTTCTTCTTTTATCATATAATCAATAAAAAATATTGAAAACTTTCCAAATCAAATATAAGAACCAAATTTTGGTAATATTAAATACAATAAAACGCAATCAAACGTTCTATACAAGCATTAGTTACATTATTTATTTAAATAAATACTACAGACCTTATAATTTATTTTTTTTTAATAAAAGAACTTTCTTACTTACATTATTCTGTCCTATAATTATTTTACACTGTTAAATTAAATCATCATTTGAAGACCTACAACTTGTGAAGATACTGAGACAAACTGAATTTCACCTTTCATACTTTAATTTTACTTTAGTTCTCCTTTATTTTAGAGATTTATGTCTTTTTTGTATTTGCCTAAGTATGTATTAATCTACTAACTATCAATTTTTATCCCAATCACTTAGATTGAGTACAAAAAACACTCAAGCTTTTATAATAATTATTTTTATTATGTTATATGTTTAATATTCATCATATATTAGTATAAGAACAGAAATATATCTAACATCAAATTTTCCATAAATTTATATCGTTAGTATAAATCTTTAGATTCCACAGAGATTTTTATTTATATTAACCTTATCGCTTTAATGACTTAATTTATTTAATAGGAACTATTGTTCCGTACTCAACAGATATCCTCAATGTTTTTCAGTAAAAGCCTACAAGGGCTGGCTCCGGTAAGTGTGTTAATTTCCCTTAACATTCGCAAGGTCAATAAGGTCACTTCAATTTTAGTATATTTAGAATTTCAATGGTTTAGTTTTCATGAATAAATATTTCAAAATATGAATTCTCTTTCAATATACATAAAAACGCAATGCAATGTATATGAAAAACATGTTTTTTTTATTTTGTATCCTAAAAATTCCAATTATCTTTTTTAGTGTGAATCTCATCTTTCTCTCAATTTATATGATTTAAATAAAAAGGGAAGTTTAAATTATACAGTAAAATTCGATTATAATCGTCGTTTCTTATAATCATAAAATAAGACGGAAATATAAAATCACAAAATCAATAAAATATATATTTTTTTAATGGAGCAAATTGTGAAGGTTTAAAATGTATTATACATACCATTACATGCAATCCCAGGCGGCTGTTCATTGTGATGCATTTCTCGGAGCACCGTGATGCGTGTGAAGAATCGCGCCCTTTCATGTCACAAGCGAGACTGAACAAGTAACTGGTTTGCTGAAACGATGAAGCTTTGTCCCTCGCCCCCTCTCCACCTCCGCACATGCGCAGACTAAAGATATTACAGATACTTCAGCAACTAGTACTTACTAACTGTGGCTTGTATATTAAATCATGATGAATGAGCTCAGTATTCAGCAGATCAGTTAAAGTAGCGTTCATAAAAGTAACTTACGGAATCAAAAAAATATAAAAAAGTCACCATTTTAATAACTATTCTTCATCACAACCATATATGATCATTTACCAAACAAGTTGACGATACTGAGGTATATATTTATATTTCTAGACACTTAAATTATGTAACAAGTCGTTCGTATTTTTGATTTGCTCGTAAACTGATGTTATTTTTGTACTTACAAATAAGACTTATTATTTTTCATGTAAAACTAAGTTTACTAGTTTATCATTAATCTCAATGAAATTTTCTAATTCGTCAATGAACTAAAAAGGGACGAGTGTAATTCTTCACAAAAACTATAAAGGCAACGTTTCTAAGATTGGGATTTCAGGTTTCCATGATTTGGGATTGGGATCTAGGAACTTCATGGGTACTGTCAAATATTTTTTAGACATTTATATAGAACTAGCTGCGCCCCGCGGTGTTATCTGCGGATTTCCGGGATTTCCGGGTTGTAAAGTAGCCTGTGTTATTCCTGGACGTCAGCTTCCTGTATACAAAATTTTATCAAAATCGGTTCATCCGTTTGAGCGTGAAGAAGTAACAAACATACACATACACTCACAAACTTTCGCAATTATAATATTAGTAGGATGGTGTAATATAAAACAATAATGTGATGATAGTTTTATTTATTAATAAAAAATTATAAGCAACCATTATTACAGCATGTCGTATTTTACCTTTTAGAGCTAGATCTTATAATTTATATAAAGACAAAACCAATTAAAACACAATAACAAACCGAGAAATAGCAGTATGAGAAGCAATACATAGCATTTGATAGGTTAGATCTAGGATAAGAATAACCATAACATTGTATAGAGTAGGCCTTATTTGTAAACCAGCACTTCTAACACTTAGAAGGCTGTTATGCGCTACTTTTATGTTTTACAAAGAGAATGAGCAATAATTATTACATATTTCTATCCTAAGGTGAGGGATACACTCAAGATATGCAGATTTTTTTTTAATGAATCAACATATCAATACAAAATATGTCATTATAATTTCAACTATTCTACCAAACTAATTAAATGAGTAAATGAAGTATAAACATTTCAGTTTGATACTATGCATGAGTTATAACAAAATGCTGAGTTATCATATAGGTGTGTCCTTTTTATTTATTCTACTTACATCTAGAATATAAATTCCAAATATATACAGAAATGTTTATACATATACATATTAATTGAAGGAAGAAGCATATATATATGGTGCAATTCCATTTATAAGTATTCCAGGAATTATTTAAATTTCGACATTTTGATTACCAAATAACTAAGAAAATTTATATAAAGGTAAAATATGGAATCACTGTAAAAGATTTACTGGGCTTCTTGTAACACTTTTTATAATTTAAATAAATTTATATTATAAAAAAAACTGTGTGAAAATAATAAGAAGCTTGTAAAAATAACAAACAGAGTCAGATCTGTTAATATTTCAATGTCTTTGTTATATTTAGATAACAATTTCCTGATCTATGATAGATTTTTGCCTAACATAGACCTATTTAATTCAACTAAAACAAAAATAAATATTGTTAATATATGTTTTGACTATTTCTATTACTCATATCCTTCAGACATTATTTTGAGGTTGAATATACTAATTAATAATTGGTTCTAAATCTTTACCAAATAAAAATTTACATTAAAATACATCACATGGAATACCACAGATACCAACATGAAAAAATATCAGAGAAAATGCATTATGTTTAATTAAATTAACTACTTAATGCAATAACATTGAAATCAAGACTGATATAATCTCTTTATACAAAGCTGTTAATTGATTATAAATTTAAATGAGACAGCCTAAAACATCTTTTGAATATATCAATTCTATAAAAACCAGTTATAGACAATGTTAAATTTGTTCATTCAAATAATATATTGTACTTATATTTGTTTTTGTATATTCAAATGAGAAACAAATTTTAAAACTGAATTTTCTATGAATAATTTTCACAATCACAAGTGCAAGCCAAACAAATCACCAGATCAAAGGTGAGGGTTACAGCTATACATTTTTTAACATATTGATAAAATATCAAATTATTCATTACTTATAAATAAATGTTATACTCTATTGTATTTAAACAAAAATCTTTATAAAATATGGAGACACTTATATATTGCCAATGAAGGTGGGTGGTATGAAGCTTAGCAAGCACAGTTGTCTCCATCTCTGTTACGGCCATTGTCGTTAGCGTTTAGCTTGATTTGATCTGGGAATTCATTATACAGCTCAGCTTCAGTCTCTTGAGCTAAAGCATTACGTGCGATAGTTTGGAATGCGAGCTCGACGTTAACTGCTTCTTTGGCACTTGTTTCGAAGTATGGGATATCATTTTTGCTTTGACACCACTGTTGGGCCCTTTTAGCAGAAACAGCGCGATTCTCCAAATCGACCTTATTACCTAGTATAACGAACGGGAAATTGTCGGGATCTCTAGGTGACGCCTGTATTAGAAATTCATCTCGCCAACTTTCCAAGGACTTAAACGTGTTAGGGGCAGTTACGTCAAAAACTAAGACGCAACAGTCCGCCCCACGGTAGAACGCCACCCCCAAAGATTGGAATCTCTCTTGACCTGCTGTATCCCAAATTTGCATGGTGACGATTCTATCATCAACTATGACTTCCTTCGTGAGGAAATCAGCACCTATTGTAGCCTTGTACTGATTGGAAAATTTCTTGTTGACAAACTGATTCATCAAGGATGTTTTACCGACACCGCTATCTCCTAGGATAATAACTTTTAAAAGAACCTTTTTTCTTGAAGACATTTTGCACGAAAATTTTCACAATTAGGACAAAAAATAAAAATAATAGTCACTCTTTGTCTGTAGGTACTTTTGACATAAAAACGAAATTGATAAATGCGTCACCTGTTTGTGATGTTACCATTTGCGAAATAGAACTAGTTTGTTGAAACATGAACGGCAAGATTGAATAAACGACGTTGATAAAAATAAAACATAATCCTATTAACTTGTTAAGTAAAGTCTCAGTGATCCGTAAGAATTTAGAAAGATTTTCATTATTCTATGGCATACAATGATGCTACTTTTACTTTTAATGACATGTATAGATACTAATTTTAAATATTAATTTTTACACATAATATTTATTTATGCTTTAATGTTACACAAATAACATTCTTAACGTCATAAATATTTATGTATATAAAATAACTATCATTTTATAATTTTTCAAAATCGTGTACAAAACTATGTTCGAATCTTTTTAATGGATGTCATGTAAATTGGTTCTTCAAGTCAAATTCGTCGATTTACCAAAATTGTACCTATTTAATTTTTAACTATGTATATATTATTGATATTTTTAATTTGACTATGAATTGTACTTACATAAATCTTTCCATGTACATATTTGTAAAAGTAAAATTACTAACAATTTATTTATTAATGGCCTAATTTCTAACACCTTCATATTTAAAGCATTGAATTATAACATAACTAAACTGTTAGTAGTCTGTGGATAGGTCGCTTAGTACGAAACCATTATTTTTTTTTTACCTGTGAAGTGCGCTGATTTCCGCAGATTTCCGTGTTTCATGAAATACAATATTGCTTCAATACAACTTATAATATAACAAAAATATACGTAGTTTACAAAGTTGTATAAAATGCGATACTAATAATAATGTATTCCAAAAAATAAGGCAATATTAAGTAGTTACTGTTGACCACAGGGAAACAGGAAGGTGAGGCTGATCTGATTCATGTTACTCTTGTCCGTTATCGAATTGTAACTTAATTGAAACTTTCTTATATTTACAGGATGGAGAATAATTTAAGCCGTAGTGGGAGCCACTCGAGCTCAGTTTGCGAGTTAGAGAAAGATCCTAGTGATATTGAAATTTTAAAATCTAGGACGAATCGACGCAACGTAATGATCCGGTCACAACCTGCACGGAAAGCGAAACGAATTAGGTTTTTCAGAAATGGTGATAAATTTTATTCAGGAGTTATAATCCCAGTCTTGCCAGAGAGATATAGGTAAGCACTTAGTATAATGAGATCTTATAAGATTTTTTGCAATTAACTTTCACTTTCTTGTTTCGAAAGTATATTGTGTTCTTTGTAGACAAATGTTTGCTAATATTGTTTTTATATCGATACTTTCAATAAAGTGAACCAAATTATAGGATTAGATAAAAATCACATATGTACTTATTTATTTAAATACCAATATTTTTATATTATTGAAATAAAAGTGTAAATTTATAATGAAACACTTAATAGAAATTGATTAGTTATTTTATTTTATTATAAATGCGAGTGAGAACAAAAAACTAACACAAGAACTTTTATAAACGAGTCATTTCTTATGATTTTTATTAAATAATCTCTTAGGAATATTGAATATTAATGTATATAACAACTGATGGTTTTTTTTTTCAGATCTTTTGACAGTTTAACTGCAGATTTAACAAGAGTTTTAGTTGATAATGTGACATTGCCGAGCGGTGTTAGAACAATATACTCTCTAGAAGGTAGAAAAGTAAGTTAGTTTTAAAACAATATAGAAGGAAACATTTGAGAAACACCAATTAGAATGTTTATAAATATAATTTTTCTTATAACAGATAGGAAAGCTTGATGATCTGGAAGATGGGCAGTCATATGTGTGTAGCGGTTTTGGAGAACCTTTTAAGAAATTGGATTATGAAGCCAGTGCAGTCACACCACAGTCCTTTAGATTAAGCGGTCCCGAATCACTCAGTGATAGTTCAAGTCCTGCCCCTGCTAGAGCTAATAATCGTATTTCACGTTACTTGCAGGTGATAATATTTTGATGAAATATAATATTTAATATATACTTTCATTTACATATACTTATTTCAATGTAAAGTGGATGTTAAAATAGAAGATTATATTTTAGACAAACGGCAGTAATTCAACTGGCAATGGTTCACCGAGAGTTAGTCCTGCTGGAGATAATGTAGTCAGGCCACATATAGTTACTATAATTAGAAATGGAGTAAAGCCTCGCAAGGTATGTTGTATTTAACAATTAATATTATTCAATTTATATAAAAAAAAAAATTGTATGGGAAATCCACTTAAAATTGCTGTAAATATTTGGTCAAATATGTGTTTAGGAGACATAATATTAAGTAATGTTTCATTAATAATTGTTTTTTTAGGTATGCAGGTTGCTATTGAATAAACGCAATAGTCCAACTCTAGAGCATGCTTTAGCGGCGATTACGGATTGCATAAAATTAGACACAGGATGTGTCCGGAAAGTATTCACTCAGTCTGGCACTCCTGTCACCGCTTTGAATCAGTTTTTTGAAGAGGAAGATGTATTTTTTGCTTATGGCAATGAAAGGTATCACTTGTTTTAACTTTCTTCAGTCTTTATGACTAATAAATAAATCTTTGTTGATGGGGTATTAGGTGTAATACAAGCTTATATTTTTCAGAGTAAACCAGGAAGATTTCGAACTCGAATTTGAGGAAAGCAAGGCTGTTTTACAATGTAGAAAAATTAAATATAATCCAGTCACTCGAAATACAAGGTTTGTAACAGTCCACTAACATCAAGAATAGTTACGTAACATAATATTTATGCATCCATTGTGTTCCTCATATAGAAACTTTCTAATATTTGTATGTTTTGTATTACAAATATTATTGTGTTATGAACATTATATTTTAATAAAAAAAATATCATATATAACATTCCTTTACTAAAATTATATTTCTATATGCCCAATGTATTTCTGATAAGTATATAGAAATATTCTTCCAGATATAGCTGGCCAAACTTTGATATTGATGTAATTTATTATTAAATTAAAATTATAAATAAATATTTAATGAATTCAAATAAGGCTGTCTTTGTCTCATATATAACTCTTTTGTTCTTTGTATTATCTTTATATATATGATTCTTCTGTGAGTGTGTATGTCACTGAACTTTACTCAAGCGACTGGACCGATTTTGATGAAATTTTTTGTGTGTGTTCAAGGGGATCTGGGAATGGTTTAGATTCACAATTTTGTCTGCTGGACAATGTTTTTTAATTAATTTTTAATTTATTAGTAGTTGTTGATACAAACGTTTTTTTTGACAACTAACATTCGATTTGACAACTAACTAATATGTCAATCATTCTGTCGCACTTCAAAACACGGAGATTTATGGCTTTAATAGGTAAACTCTAAAAATATATGTAAATAAAAAAACGTTATAGATATTTCTTGATTATAGAGCGATACGAAGTTCGCCGGGTCTTCTAGTATTATATAAATGTTTGTTTCTAGGAATGGTCCCAAGCCTCGTATGCCAGTGAAAGCCAGCGGAGCCCGGGCCGAAGCTGCAGCAGTGGCTGCCGGTGCTGGTGATGGAGAGGCCGCTCTTGCTCTGGCCGCACTTCTACCACATCCATTGAGACTTAAGTACAATGTTGGCAAGATTATAGGTACATTTATTATTTTTATTAATAAGAAATGATATGTATTATATATAATAGAACATTCAATTGCACTAGTATTAATAATTACTTAAAACAATCTTATCCAGTCATACTACTTGACTGTATGTGAATTGCTATAAAAGAATCTGTACTCAAGTACTTTAATAATTTATACTTTTCAATAATAACCACTTCTTATACTATCTGCGCAAACCTGTTGAGCCATTAACAAGTTTCTAAAGGAATTGCTAATATAATTATCATTATTTAATTTTTAATGAATATTTTGTTCTAATACTGTAACTTCCTAAACAACTGACTACATCTTGTTGACTTTTACATCTAATCGAATTTGATTTACACATACTCCTTAATGTTGTATAGAACACCCTATATGCAGAATTAGAATTTAATAATAATGTAAATAAAGAACAAAATAATAGCTTTTTCCTACCCACTTGTTTGGTCACAAAGTAACAAAAAAAATTATGATTCATATGTCAACAGAAATGTTAAAAGGATGAATGTACTATTGTTCATTGCTTTGAGTACATTGGTGATAAAATCAAGTGTTTGCATAAGTACAATGAAAGCTAGCAATTAACTTTGTATGTAGCCTTCAGTTATTGATTCTTATTAAACATATATTCATATTAACAACATTAAAACATTTATATTACTACTAATTTATTTCTTTTATTTCTAAAATGAAGCTGTAATTATGAAATAAAATGTATGTATATATAATATTTTATTATTGAATTTACAGGTGATGGCAACTTTGCTGTTGTACGGATATGTAAAGACAAAACAACTGGCAAAGAATACGCTCTTAAAGTTATTGATAAAGCAAAATGTAAAGGGAAAGAACATTATGTTGAAGCCGAGGTAATTGAATTTAATGACTGAGTTTTTTTTATTATTTGCATGTCCTGTGATATACAAATATGTGGTATACAATGTTTGGGGACTCCTAACACAAGTTAATTCTATAACTTAAAAGGAGCTCCCTAGCTGTATCTGTTGTATATTAATAAGTTACAGAAATAAATATTTATTTTTTATTTTATACAAATCTTTTCATAATTTTTGTACAAAATTATAATTATTTTTATAATTAGGTGCGTGTCATGAGAAAATTGTGTCATCCTCGCATTGTTTCCCTTATTGAAGACCAAGACAGCCCAGAATGGCTATTTCTCATTATGGAACTTGTCAGCGGTAATTATATAATTTCTTCCTTTTGTGTCTTATAAATCATAATAATTATTTAAAAATACACTAGACCAAATATGTTAAATAGTACAATAATATTGATATAATATAATATAGATATGTATAAAAATGGGTCACTATATCCTGTTATAAATTATACCAGTAATCAGAATTCATTGTATGTCCAAACATGAATGAGGTTTCATAATTATGCTAAACTACTGTGAAAAATATATTTTCATTCACACAGTAAATTAAGTGTTTAAAACTGTATAATACCGAAGAAAAACGAAATTAAATGATATTTCATAAACTTTTTTTAGGTGGTGATCTATTTGATAGTATTGCAGTAGCTTCAAAGTTTTCCGAGCCTCAAGCCCGTCTGCTGATAGGTCACTTAACCTCAGCTATAGCGTACCTACACTCACTATCTATCGTACATCGAGATATCAAGCCTGAGAATTTATTGGTAAGCTTTATTAATTTGTATACAATTTTATTAATTTAGTAATAATAAAAGATTTTACCGTCGACTTTGAAGGAGGCACTATAGTTATAACTTTCCCAAAAATTTTAATTTGATAATATTTCCTATATTAAATTAATATTCTATACTCTTCTTGTAGGTGGAGGTAGGTCAAGATGGGAGTATACGTGGTCTAAAGCTGGCTGACTTCGGGCTAGCAGTTGAAGTGTGGCGGCCGCTACACGCCGTCTGTGGGACGCCTACGTACGTCGCGCCCGAGATTTTACTAGAGACTGGATATGGGCTTAAGGTGAGTAAATATGCAATAAAAAGATTCCTTAGATTGTAGACACAAACTGTAGTCATTAAACTGCTATACTATTTTCTGATAGTAACTATTATTGCAAGTCCATCATACATTGTCCTTAATGTTATATTTTATACTTAGCTTTGACACTGAATAATTAAGTCCATTCCAAAATCAAATACAGTAAAGAATAACAACAAATACTTAAAGAGTTATGTAAATTAATAGTTATCATTGTACTAGACGATATCAAGTGGTTTTATAACACACAGATCGACGTGTGGGCGGCGGGTGTTATACTATACATACTGTTGTGCGGCTTCCCGCCATTCTCATCGCCGGATGGTGACCAAGAGAAGTTGTTTGATGCGATTTTGTCCGCACGGCTGGAGTTCCCCGCACCTCACTGGGAACGCGTCTCGGCCGGTGCTATAGACCTCGTCGCTAACATGCTACGGCCGCAACCAGAACTACGCTTTGCCGCTGAGGACGTACTTGACCATGCTTGGATGTCGGTTAGTCTTTAAAAAAAAAAACTAAAAAGATTCAAATTTGGAACACACAATTCAGTGTTGCAAGTCCAATCCCAGAACAAACATGTGTGATTCGTAACTTTATAGCTTGATTGTCTTTTTATTCTTTATTTTAAAAATACTATAATTTAATCAGAAACCAAAATACACTAAATTGGTTTATATGTAATATGATTTGATATATTTTGATAAAGCACACAATTATAATATTTAAATGAACAACACATGATGTAATGTTTATTTCTACTTTGACAGGATGACTATGATGAAATGTGCGACTTTCGTACATGGTACGACGAGGACTCCTCATAGCCTTCCCACATAAGCTTCACGACGACTCAGCGTCAGGCTATTATTGCTACTGAGTACTGCGTCCGCGCTCTACACAGCTATGCCTTCATATTGACACCAATACCAAAGTTATTCCATAATATGTAATATAAATATAAATACTGCACATGTGTTCAATTTTTTAAAAAAAGTAACTATTTTCGATCAAATTAAAGTTGCAGTATCATTGTTGATGTTCCGGTTTTTATACAGACGTCCCGACATAGATATGTTAATCATCAAATGAATTATCTATTTATTTTTCATTACTTATTATTTTGTTAAGATATAGCCTTAATTAGTATTTATGTGGCTGTAAAATCAGTTCTTATTTAGTATTATTTAGGATAATATTTGATTGGCAGGCAGATTTCATTGCATTTAAATTATAAATCAGTGATTATTCTTTACTATCCAAGAACGATCTCCAATATTGCATTCTAGGGCTCTATATATTTATATCTTTATGAATAACACCCAGTATACATATTTTTAGAATTGGTAGGTTTTATATAATTTCCACCATGTCCTATCAGTTGCAGGACTGAATCATGAAATTATATTGAAAACTATCAGAAACTCAATATTTAAGTTACTAATTTAATTAAGTCTATTATATATAATCTAGCTTTGGCTTTTCTATAGGTGCATTTATTTATTTTACCAGAAATCACTTAGCAATTATAAATAATTTATTAAAAAATGAAAAAAAAAGTATTCAAAAATATGTATGCATGTTTTAAACATAAATGTGTAGTTATTTTTGCCATTTTACTCTTTAGGCACAAATAATTTATGTTCAATGAATTTTTTTATTGTTATTTGGAACCTGCATAGAAAAATTACTATTGTGCCAAATTCATTTCATGTCACATTAGTTTTCTTCAGATGGTAATTAATGTCTTGCTATTGAAATGTAATCACATAACATTATTAGACTGAAACACATTCCTTTATTCTTTTAAATATACAAATACAATATTATAACCACACATGTATATCTCTGTAGTATTCAAATCCAATGTGGCCAAATGCAATATTTGAGTTGTCAAAATATTATCACTTCCTTGTGTTTAATAAAGCGTTATGAAGATTTATTTGCTTACAAAATAAATTATTTATTTTAAAATATGCTGAATTTTGTACCTTTTATTTCTTTTTCATTTTTTTATCAACTTAAATATCTACAGTAACATTTTGAGTGTAGCTGTAGTATAGATATTTGAAAAATTCAAACCAAAAACACATTATTTCCCACAAATACTATAAAATTTGGGGACTGTTAAAAGTTAAATTTTCTGTCCTCTTTTTTATGTGGTCGATCAGCCTATATTGATAATATGATTTTTTTACTCTTTACACTGAAATAAAAAATCCATACATTAATTTCCTAGCTTTTACAAATACTAAAACAACATAAGTCATAGTGTAATATGAGGTGTGGCCTATCTATTGTTATTTATTAGTTATAAGACTGCTTTGATATATCAGACTTTTGCATGGGATTTTAAAGCAACCAGTGAATATATTTAATGACATTAATACAATTATTTTTACATAGTTTGTGAAGTGTTTAAATAAATTGAAAAAGGCTTTTTTACATGTTTTATATTATATTATGATCTCTTTTGGTGATTAAATTATTGTAATACATATCCAGTCAAAAGAAATCCACTTGAAGAATTCATCATTACTTCAGGATGTGTCCTTTCAGGAAGGATCTGAAATTAATTCAAAAGTTTTAGTAAACAGTTTATACTGTGTCATATCTCAACCTTTATATATGATGATTTCACCCTTACCTGATAATTTCTCATCCAATTACATGTTAATTTCAGTGCAGCAACATTACTTAAACATTTCAGAGTAATATAGAGACTTTGTAAAGGTTCAGCTACAGTATAATATATTACAAATGGCCGACCGGGCTTAACAAAAGGCAGGAGTTCTAAGAAAATATTTTGCGGATCTTCCTTTGAGGCAACAACTAAAGAATCTACTTTATTTGATAGTACTTCCGAGGCAGCTATGTTATCAAAGTGCCATTTAGGTTTTTTAGGACTGGGTAGTTTGTTTTCTTCACCTGTATTCACAATATCAACATTAGATGTTGCATTTTCTGTATCTTCAAGCTTCGATACTTTAGCATCATGTTCCAAATCATCTACAGCTTTCCTTTTCAGAGTGCTATCTTCTTTGTCTACTGTATTTGTATCACAACCCTGGTAGAGCTGTCTTAATACTGAATATACATTAACAGATATACACTTGTTATATTGTTCTGTCTCAAAGTTCATAGCTAACAATGCTTGCTTCTGCGACATATTGCCTGGGTGCATGTGTACTAATTTTCCATTAGCCTGTGAACCCATTGCACCTAACAAAGCAGCAGCTAGAAGACCATTTGATCCCGAATCATACAACAGATGATTGCCTTCACAACTAACATTTGATAAGGTAATTATTTGAGACAAGGTGTCCAAACGTATACCTTGTATTTTATTAGGCTCAAGCTTATACATTATCTCACTTATATTTCTTAAATTAGGTTTTAATATTTGTACATATTCAAAATATTTCTTTTCTTTCTTTTTCAAGTATTTCTCTTGTGAAAATTCTGTTTTATTATGAAATGTTGTTGAATTTGTGATAATTGTTTCTACAATATCAGATGCTTTATTGGAGTCAAATTTAAGTTCATCAATTTCTACAGCAGACAATTTTTGTGATCTTCCATCATCATATATATTCCTATTGTCAGCTCCGCTCGCTTTTAACGTTATTTCTTCTTTTAAACTACACGTTTCTTCAGCTAACTCTAGTTTATACTCTTTATTTCTTTTTGTTCCATGAGGTATCATTTTAAATATAGAAAAATATCTATTACCCTCTATACCTTTTAAGTTAACAGCATCTTTTCCAATGTTAACCACAGAGTTGGGTTTATTAAATTTGTGGAGCTTTTTGTAATTTTGTTTTTGAATAACTATATATTCTCCAAGTTTTATTGTATTATCTGCCATTTTATGGAATCGTATTATGCATACGTTGTGTGAAATGTGATTTAGGAGAAAATATACGGTGTTATAAAAATTTTAAGGTTAAAAAATAACCAACAACAACTTTGTACCTCAGTTTAATATCAACGCTAAACTCTTAACTGAGTAAATGTCAATAATGAACGTAACCAAGGTGTTTGACATTTTTTTGACACAATTACATTCCGTACTGAAATATTTTAAATAGCGGTTTTAAAATTTTAAAAGGGTCCTTAAAAACCTAATTGATTGCGGAAAACCTTTTTTAGTTACCGTAATTTTCCAAAAATATACATATTCTATGTGGAGTTAATATAATTCCAAATTCCTGTTAATTTACCTGCTACTTATATTCTGATATAAGAAATTTATTTTATCTTTCATTAGTTTTGTATACCTACGAGATTAATTCTTGAATGGACCATTATGAATGACATATTTACTCTATTTACTGAAACTAGTACATACTATCAATTATAAAAAATTTGATCTAACCCATTTTTATAATAGATTTTTCTAATTAGTATTTTATATTTATGTGATTTTTTGCGAATCCTTTTGTACATATTTTTTTAACTCTTTATTTTTTATGTTCTTATCCTTATTACTTTGATAGAATATTGTTACAAATAGGTATATTAATGTATGTATTTTAAAAAAAGCTTAGTATATAACCATACAGATTGTTAAACTATTTCTCATAATATTTGCAGCTGGCCTCAGAGTCAAGATAAAGTAAAAGGTAATAAAGGACAGAACTTATAGGTTTGGTCCTCAAGATGCGACCCTACTCCGAGTAGTATTCATTATATTCTCTATATTTATATAATAGGAGTAAAAAAAAACTTTAACTGTCTGAATTTATTAGTCTTACACCCAGTTAGAAATTAAAATATAGTTATATATACTATCTTGTTTACATTTTGTTTAAAAAACCATCCGATACGGCAATGATTAAACTAAAATTTAAATCCGTAAATATTACCAAATATAATTATTTACTTAAATTTAAAAAATTACCTACAATCCCAGAAATAATAGTCGCATCATTGTGATGAAAATCATATTTTTTTTATATTGCCATTTTAGATTTGCACACCACAGAGGGATTCGGAGTCAATAACATTTAAGATCAGAAATTTAAATTTTGTACATTTCATGTCCACTTAAATGTTACGTTTCTGTTAGATCTTTAAAAAACTTCAAAATTCTGATGAAAGTACAAAGATAACCTGTTCTACTCGACATATCTTGACACATGGCCATATACAAAAAAATATTACCTTAAATTATCTGCATGTCTCACAACTCACAATCGCACAACACTAGTCAATAGTCATACCCAATAAGTGTTATCCTATATTATTTTATTTACAAGTGACTTTTGAACTCGAACATTACTTAGATAAATAAAAATATACATACTGTCTCTTATTTTTACTAGTTTTAAGCTTTAATTTAATTCAAAGTGAAACTTTGTATCTGCTAAGTTTAAAAAATAAAGTTAGAAAACTAGAAATACTACAGGTATAATTTAAATGATGTCTGCGATAACCAAAACTAGTAAGATATTTCGTGTACTTACGCACCAATATTCACCACGTGTTACATGCAAAAGAAATTTAAATCTTCAAGAATATCATAGCAAAGACCTGTTAAAAAAGCACCAAGTTTCTATACAAAATTTTCGACTTTTGGATTCATCTTTGGACTCTAAGGTGCTCTCCGACTTTAAGGCTGATGAATATGTAGTTAAGGCTCAAATATTGGCTGGTGGAAGAGGGAAAGGTCATTTTAACAATGGATTCAAAGGTGGTGTCCATTTAACAAAGAATCCGAATGAAATCGTAAACTTAGCAAAAAATATGATTGGACATAAGCTTATCACAAAACAAACGCCTAAAGACGGCATATTGGTAGATAAAGTAATGATAGCAGAGAGTGTTAATATAAAGAGAGAAACATACCTGAGTATTGTATTGGAAAGAGCATATAATGGTGCAGCTTTAGTAGCATCTCCAGCAGGAGGAATGGATATTGAAGCAGTGGCTGAGAAAACTCCTCATTTAATAAAAACTGTCCCCATTGACATATATGAGGGCATAACAGATAAAACTGCCAGAGAAGTTGCTGAGTTTCTAGAATTTAAAGGACCTTTGCTTAATAAATGTGCTGATGAAATTAAAAAGTTATGGCAGTTGTTTTTAAAGGTGAATTATTGATTAAAAATTTGTTTAAATATCTTAAGCTAATCTTTGAATGGAAAGTTTGATATAATGTTTATTACAGGTAGATGCTACACAACTAGAAATCAATCCTCTAGTTGAAACTGATGATGGTAAAGTAATAGCTGTTGATGCAAAGATTAATTTTGATGACAACGCTGAGTTTAGGCAGAAAGAAATCTTTGCACTTGATGACAAGTCTGAAACGGATCCTAGAGAGGTAGTGTCTTAAGAATATTTTTCTATAACACTAAAACTTTGAGTACTATTTTATAGGTTTGTGAAATATTTATGCATAAATAAAAAATATTTGATAGTTGATTAAATTAAATTATTCTATTCAGAGAGAGGCAGAGGCTCATAATCTTACATACATTGATATGGATGGTAGTATTGGCTGTATGGTCAATGGAGCCGGCTTGGCTATGGCCACAATGGATCTTATTGTTTTAAGTGGTGGGAAACCAGCTAATTTCCTGGATCTTGGAGGTGGTGTGGGACAAGCACAAGTTTCAACTGCTTTGAAGATACTGGAATCAGATCCTAAAGTAAAGGCAATATTTGTGAATGTTTTTGCTGGTGAGTTCTATTGTATGCTAAGTGTCTGCAAGTAATTAAAGCTAGACTATTATTATAAATGAATGTTAAATTAATATGTACTAACATTGAAATGATACTTTTGCAGGTATTGTAAATTGTGCTCTGGTTGCAAAAGGTATTGTTGCTGTATGCAAAGAAAATCTACCAAAGCATCCAATAGTGATTCGTTTGGAAGGAACAAATGCAGCTATAGCCAAAAAAATCCTTGAAGAATCTGGTCTGCCGTTGCACATTGTAAATGATGCTGATGAAGCAGCAAAAAAAGCTGTTGCATTGGCAGAATCAAAATAAATTTTGATTATCAAGTTACAGATAATAAAATAAATCTTTATTCACAAAATCAGGGAAAACATGAACAATGGAATAACCTTATATTTTGTAATCAGGGAAGGATGCACCATTTTAAGATAAATATTGACAATTATAATTTTTATTAAATTAACAAAATAGATCAAATATAACATTTATAGGATTTAAGTGTATGACAATCAATTTTTATAGTATGTATCGAATTATGTAAATAAATAAATACTAAAAACATTTTAACCTTGTATCAAAGACTGAATCGTGACATTATCATTGGACAAATCCTTGCCTGCAACATTGTTGAAAATTGTTTTATAGAAATATAATTATGATTTTACTTATTAATTTTGTTAAATAAAAATGCTGTTGAAAATAAACTAAAATAATTTTATTTAATACCATTACAATAGACATATATTACAACTATGCGCGGAAGAAGTTAAGCCGTCTTCCGCTCGTGTCGTTTTTGACGGTCATATTGGATTGAATGTCTTCGAAGCTGGGAAGGTTCGAGAGTTTGCCTCTCGCTGCTACGCATGGCTTCTTGCTGAGCATACGACGAGCTACGCGTATTATGTCCTCACCAGTGATTTTTTCTAAAATTACAAAATGTTATTAAATATCTTCGTTAGTGTAGGTTATCAATTGTAAAATATTACTTCAGCTAGCAGATTAAGAATTTTATTTTAACTATCTATATAAACAAAAAAGTAAACATGTAAGTTTACTGCAAACATTGATAAAATGTATTAAAACAGCTTTATTCATTGGTCCTTATTAATTAAAAAAATATGTTATCAATGTAAACATGTAGAATGTCCTATGGCCTCTTAAAAAATACTCAATTAGAACTGAAATTCAGATTAAAATTGTTTTAATATAGATCAAACTCAATAAAGTAAAATAAAAACAAGGAAAATCAGTAAAAAATATTTCAGGTAGCGTCGTAATAATTTGACTTTTAAGTTATTTTCAGCCTCTCTTTAACTTTGTAATCAATGATGTCATGATAATATGAAATAGAGATACATATGAAGTATCGATGTAGTTTTTCTGCCATTTCGATAGTTTTATTATGTTTTTAAATATTAAATGCATAGCATACACCACCTTAATGGTAAATTGATTGATTCATTACGACTTAATAATATGGTAGAACTTTCTAGAAAATCTTCCATCGCTATTTCGTCAGATAATTATAAACTTATAAATAAGAATTAATTTATGTCATTTATACATACCAATTTCATTAATAAAGAATGATGGTGGTTTTCGTTTGCCGGTAGCCAGCACTTGTCTCCCGATGTCCTCAAACACTACGGGTCTTGCCTCGAGATTCATCAGTAACATCGATTGTAATTGCGTTTTGGCACGCTTTAGCAAAAAAAAAAAAATTGTTATAACAAATTGTATCTGATATTTGGTAATTATTATGTATAATTCAATTGTACATTTACGCATATACACAACAAGAAACAAAATTGTACATTTTACATAACAGGTTAAAAACAACCAGTTCAGAAATACTTATATATTGTTTCCGATTAAAAAAATAAATATAGTATGTATGAAAAATATAATTATTTTTGTTTAATTTAAATCATCAAAATAAATCGTTCCGGAGATTATTTTATTCTGCTCGTCTTTTACATTAATTACATTGACGACATTCTGTATTATAAAGATCAGTGTTTTTCAATCGTTTTGATATCGCGACCCCTTTACTGGTTGAAAAAATTTTGGAGACTCCTTTGTGCCATAGACGGGCAAGGAAATTCTTAAATTAAAAGTCTAAAGACTATCAAAGTTAAAGGCATTCTCTGCAATGGTGGACATCAAAACAAAAAGGAGAAATAAACGTCAATTAAAAGTTGATTTGATAGATAATATTTCAAAAATTTTACATACTTTTGAAAAATAAACAAGCCCATCTCTCTCATTAAAATTTGGTTTTTATTGTAATGTAGCACTTTACCTTTTTCTTTTTGCCGGCGACCCCTATAGGGGTCGCGACCCACAGTTTGAAAACCACTAATATAAATGATAAACAGTAATTAAAAAAACATTTTTCTTAGATTGTTATTGCCATCATAGTGAGGCAAGAACAGGTTGTTAATGAAAAGAGGTGCAGGAGTTGCTGATAGAATAGCAATATCTACATATAACCACATAAAAAAGAAAGAAAATTATTAGAAGTATTTTTCTTGAAGAACAAACGGGTCTATACAAACTTGATTCTAAATGAGGCTTTCAATATATTAAACAAATTAACGGAACATCGTACAAGGATTAAAGAACATATATCAGATAATTAAAATGGGCGTCTATTGAAGTGCGCTGTGTGATCACACAATTGGCTCTATGGTTTGTCAAACCATAGAGCCTTGCTCGTGGAAACAGGTACATATCGATTAATTTACGAGCCCAACGAAATGAAGAAAATATCCTTATTTCAATACAAAAGATGACGGGCAAAATTATATACAACCTGGGATGCCTTCATCAAAAATATTAAATTCTTATTCACCTACCACACTATCACACCTGTGTATTTTGCATGCATCCAGAGCAATACATAAGAAAATAGAATGCAAAAAATATGATAAATCAATTATGTAGTATATCAAAGAATCATAGTTCAATTTATCTTAGAAAAATGTAGAGCCAAGTTAAATATTAAGCATATGTAGATAGTAAGTAACATTAAATCTGTATCCCTGGTTCTATGAATGAATCTATATTCGCGGATAAACATTTAACAATTACCATAACCAGTCATAAGGGTAACAATATTAACTACTATTTTCCATCACAATAGCACAAACTGTCAAAATTAAATTCAAGTCCAAGTATTAAAATTATTAATTATTAATAGCACACATACTCTGAGCTCAGTTTCCCCGACGTGTCCAGCCATGTTGGCCAGTTCCCGGGCAATAACTAGCGCGGTGTCGTGTAGCCTAGCGGGCGGTGAAGCGGAGTGCACACACATCAGACCGGTGTCACCATACGCGTGGTTGTATGATGTTGCATTGAACATCCAGTGATAACTGGCAACACAAGATCAATTTTATTACTGATAGGCTCAAAAGGACTCGTATCCAGAGCCGTAAAAACATTTATAAAAAAAATACTGCTTAATTATTACACCATGAAGATTCTATTTTTAAACGTGCATTTACTGCATTTTTTGATTATATAAATATAATTATAAAAAAAATAGATGCCTCAACAAGTCATGTTTGTGGTAATGATTTAATATTTTTATACTAAAAAAATTGAAAGTCTATTAATATAAACTTCTCACCGATTCAATACATTGGTGTAAAGGCGAGTGTACATTCCCTTGCCTGGACCACCAGCACTGAATGAGCCACCACCACCCATCATCATATTCAACACACAGGTTGCCACAAAGTCAGGGTCACTGTGAGAGCAACCTAAGAAAAATTTAAGTACAAAGTTTAAAGTACTTAAGTATAAAGTAAATAAAAAGTATATATTACTTTCATTATATACTCACTCTCCAATCCAATAACAACATGGGATAGTTCAGGTAAATCTGATCCCGGGTATAATGGAATTTCACATTCCTCCTAGAATTATAAAAACGATTGCATCATTACTTCAAATAATTTTATATTACATATTATAATATAATAAGTAATAAATTAGCATAATGTCAGTAATTAAAAAATTACCTTTTCCAATCCACCGGTGTATTGTGCAATGGATTTGTCAGTCTGTGCTTTGAATGTGTCACTGTCTTCTGAATGCCAGGTTGGCTTCATGTCTACGAAATACTTTTGAACATATTCCACAAACGGCTCATGGTCTACCTACAATGATAACATTTGATAAATTAACAACTGCATTCCAAGTAATGTCAGATTTTCTTTAATTTTATCACTCACTCCAACAGCCGCAACAACCATTCTGTCTGGTGTGTAATGATTCTTCAAATAGGTAAGGATAATGCCTTTATCTATTTTATAAACATTTTCCATGGGACAAATCTTTGGTAGACCTAAAGTATTCCCTCTATAAGCAGCCTGTAGAAACAAATAATAAGTTATTTCCATTGCCCATTACAACATTTTCTGAGTACAAATATATTACCCTAATAATATGATAACTATGTGTATTAATATATTATTGAACCACACATAAACAAATATTTTAATTAGCATTTTATTACTATTTGTGTGTGTCTGATTAAAAGAATTGTAACACTTTACCCTAAGGATAAGAATTCTTTGAGAATTTACCTGATAATTTGAAGAATTACCTATTAAAAGTAATGAATGAGATCCTATATGGATAACATGTTGAATATAATTGTGTTAAAAACTAATGAACCACACAGAGAGCTCACATCTAGACATAAATAAAAATGGTGTATTGATTTGTAATAATAAATCTTTTTTAATAAATATGTATAGAGGAAATATATATATTTTTTTATTTATGAACGTCCATATTTTGATTGCTCCTTATATTTTATGAAATGGCAGAACTAATTTTGACAGGAGTTTCACTTTATATAGCTAATTCAACAAGAAGTGACTAAGGCTTCCTCACATAAGGAATTTATTAATTTCTATTAATATACAGGGTGACTGGTGAATTACTATCGATACTTGAGGACGTGATATTTGACGATCATATATGACAAAATAAAAATTAATATAATATAAATAACGGGTGTCCCAACTAGAACGCAATTTTTAAATTTGGCGCCATTTTAAGTGTCATTGTTTGACATTTGAACAATTGTTATTGTTTGCTTGTAGAAGATACGAGGTTAGTAAAAATGGAGCGCTACACGAATGAACAACGCATTCTCATTGTAAAATTGTTTTACCAAAATGGTGAAAGTTTTGCGGCTACAGTTCGCAAGTTGAGATCATTTTGGTCACAATAATGCTCAAAAAGAGTCAATGGTGTTCGGTATCGTGAAATGATTACCAGTTTTTTCTTGCCTAGAATCGAAGAAATGAATGTGGAGATCATGTGATTTCAACAAGACGGCGCCACATGTCATACAGCCAGAGAAACAATTCAATTGCTGCATCAGTCATTTCCCGGTCGTGTTATTTTGCGTTTTGGACACCAGAATTGGCCGCCTCAATCGTGCGATTTAACACCTTTAGATTAGGGAGCGTTCAAGTATTACGTAACGCAATTTTCGAAGATTTTTGACCCCCCCTTCCCCCGTCGTAACCCACAGTAACGTTTTTCTGTAGCCCCCCCCCCCTTCTCAAAACGTTACGTAACACTCAAGTGATCAATTTCATCAAAAGACTTACAATGTAATCTATGTATTCCCCGTAAAATATCAATTAAGAGGTTTGCAAACTTGAAATAACAAATAAAAATATCGACCAGATTAATACAATCTAGTCAACGATGTAATATATATGAAAAGAGTTGCCAGTTTGGGGGTTTTTATTAATATATTTTTTTAGAAACAATGCTACGTAACGTTTTGTAAGAGACACCCCCTCCCGCCCCAGTAACGCATCGTAACGTTTTACGAGACCCCACCCCCCACCCCCAAAATTGCGTTACGTAATACTTGAACGCTCCCTTATTTTCTTTGGGGGTTTTTGAAGTCGAGGGTTTACGCGAATAAGCCGACGACGACTCAAGCCTTAAAAGAGTTGGAATTGGAAGCTGGAGTAATGAAATATCGCAGTATTTATGCAAAACGGTCCTTGAAAATTTCATTCAAAGATCGCGTGTGTGCCTGCAAAGCCGCGGCGGACATCTGCACGATATCTTGTTCCATACATAACCTCATTCTATCTACTTTACGATATAATAAAGTTACACGATATTTTTTTTGAATATCTGTGTTTTATTTAAAATTTAAAAATTGCGTTCTAGTTGGGACACCCTTTATTAATAAACTTCTAAGTAAAGTTAACCAAAAGTTATGTAATTAATTACACATCGTGTGAACACCCTACAGATTAGGTATACACACACACACACACGCGCGCGTGCGGCGGCGTGGTGTTGTATCAGCACGCCGCCGCACGCGTCCACACTAGGAACACTTGGAACGTGTCCACACTATTTATTTATACGGAAATTTGGTAAAAAATTAAGTACCTATTTTTTTTACATAATTCGAATGAGAATCATGTACCGAGTATTCTCCTTAAATATTGATAGTAATTCACCAGTCACCCTGTATAAAATAATTATTAAATATTCTGTCTGGTCATAACTCATAGGTGAATAAGCAACTGTATTTTTATACAATTAATTACAAGAGTTACAAAAACTAATAACAAAACTTTTCTCTAACACACTTGTGACCAAATACATGTGTCTAAAATGCCTGATAAAGGATGTTCAATAATAAAAAAAGACCAGACTAAAAGAAGTTACTGCATATTATGATCATTGTTCATTATAATATGTATAAGAATAGCAAAAAGGAACATATTATCCCATTACATCCTAAGATAAGAAGTAAAGCCTCTTGTAAAATATTACATACAGCATGTATCATATCCATCAATATTGTTTCTTGTTCTGGTCTCATGGAGAGTGTTTCCAATTCAAATGCAACAGCTTGCCTTGCACCTTCAATTTCTTCACTTGAAAGCATGGGTCTCAATGTCACTTCAGCAAGCACCTTAAAATATATTATTGTAATATTAATAAATATTATTGTAATATTAATAAACCATTATAAATAGAGCTCCAATCTATACTAATAAACAAAATTGAAGTGTGAGTTTGCAAAAACAAACTAATAGGTTTTTACTCAATGCATATTGTCAAGCTATATACAATATTTACATAAAAACTTTTTAAAGTTTCATACGTCTTTTTGTTATGGTTATTCTCTTAAGTCACAGAACCCATTTTGAATGGACTTTTATTTGGAAGTAGGTAATGTTATAGAAATAATATAGCTCATTTATAAACCAAATTCAAAGTGAGGAAGTTCTGAATATGATTTTTATTATGCTTATGCTCCTTAATTTAAGCTCATTTTCTAAAAGACATTATTTTGAAAAGTTTATTCTTCAACAATATGGTGATGAAATTTTTGAGAAATCAATTAAAGCTCATAAAGATGATTTGTATATCTCAAATGACATGAGATCAAAGCCATGGGCAATAGCTAGTTTAATAATATATTTTTATTGTTGTCTTTAATCAAAATATCTTTAATATAACATGCTCTTTAAACTTGGGAATGCATATATTTGTTATATTCACTACTAATTATATGTTTACCTGAGTAACAGCTTCCAAACCTCGTGAATCAGCACTGGTTGCATACACTGTAGTATCCCTGGAGCCCTGACAGTCACATATGCCTCCGTGACGCTCCAATTCCCTCAACATCACATCACGGGTTGGATATTTGTGGGTAGCCTAAAATTTTATTTAAAAAAATTATGCTCATTTCAACTTATACTTTATTCATATTATGGAAACTTACCCCAAAACTTAATTTTTCAAGGAAATGGCAGATACCATTTGGATATGCAACTTCATATCTTGGGCCAGAATCAATAACCACTAAACAAAATCATGACATACATAAGTGAAATCATGTGAATTAATATAAAGTATTTACTCCATCATAAAATATTCTTTAACTTACCACCAGCAGTACAAAATTGACCAAACTTTTTCTCAGAAGCCACCCTTAATCCATTGCTAAGAGTTGTTACTTCAGTTGTATAGTTCTCTGATTTTGAAGAGGCATACACAACTGGAGGCAGATTTGACATTGGCTCAGATAAAGGAGGTAAGGGTGTGACACTTTCTTTTGGTAAAGGCTGGGGTGGTCTTTCAACATTCTGACTGAAGGTTCTACCATGTTTGAATGTAGGTAACCTGAAAAATATAAATAAGCGGTATTAAGCATTTCGTATAAAGAGTACTAAGTGTATATGTAAAAATGATGTAAGAATTTAGAATATAAGTAATAAGAACAATTTGACATAATGTTGACGACAATATAACGGTAATGTTAATAAAATGAAACAAACCCATTTTTAAACGAACACAACCTAGAAAATAAAATTTTCATGTCAGATACATGAGACATTTCTTAAAACTTAACAATGGTGTGTAAATACTTTTTCTTTGGTAAATAATGCAACGATATATATAACAGAAACTCCCAATTTGCTAGTAGCACTTTTAAATGCAAATTAACATAAATACAGTCTTGCAACAAAATTGATGAAACGGATCTTGACAAAAATTAATAATTATACAAGAAATTGACATAACATTTGACTTTGACAATGACGTTCTGTGATTCCTTTTTTTAAGAATCCAGCAGTGCATGTCTTTGTACATTAAAGAGATAAAAATCCATAAGTACTGACTAGAAATCGCAGTTCTCATCAATTTCTCAGTTTTATTAATATATCTGGTATTATAGCACCACATTGAACTTATTAATTATAATTTATTGAAATATTGATAAAAGACTAAAATTCAGGGTAAATTAAAATGATTTTAACAAGGATTAATAAATTATATAAAACTATTTTTATATATATATAAAAATAGCATTTTGAATATGGTTATTATAAAGTTAATTCCTTAAACTTAAATTAAAACTACATATAATAAAAAAAATAATAACTTGTTGGTGATATTCAGCGATAAGTAAAACCGAAATTTCCATAATCGATTATATATAATATACAAATAAAAAAGTATCCTACACTACATAAAATTTAAGTAGAATTTATAAATTTTTAAAAAAACCATTTTGTATATTTTTGATAAATCTTACACAATAGATTGAAAGAAAAAATGGCGTTTTTGTACATAAAAAAAAAAATGAATCAACAAGTTCTTTTTATGTTAATCAAGATATTTCTACAAATGTAAAGTATCCCACAGATAGTAAAAAGGAAAATTAGAAAATACTTTATACCGTACAATAATATTATTGTTAAAAATGCACTTGATTAGTGTACTACTTATCAAAATTTTATAATAATGAAACAATCTATTTGTACCTAATATGTAGACGGTATAAATTTACGCAATGCAATGATTTAGTGTTAAATGTAAATAACAAAACAGTTTCTGTAGAACTTGCTATGTTTTTGATTTACATATGATTAAATATTGATAACGGAAAAGCTGTTTAATATAGAAGATTTAACAATATACTTCGTACGCTCTTGTATTATAAAATGATCAAACGTTTATATTCAACTTATAAAAGAGTTCCTCAAGTATGTATAGTGGGAGCCGGGCCAGCTGGGTTTTATGCGGCGATGCATATAACCAAGCATTTCAGTCCAGTCAAGATTGACATTCTTGAAAAACTTCCTGTTCCCTTTGGGCTTGTAAGGTTCGAGAGATATGAATTTGGAGAGTTCTTTTTGAACACCTTATTCAAATGCTTAAGGATTATGTTTTGTTCTACAGATATGGTGTGGCTCCTGATCATCCGGAAGTTAAAAATGTCATAAATCAATTTTCAAAATGTGCCCAACAAGATAATGTAAATTTTTATGGTAATATTACATTAGGAAAGGACATAAGTCTGAAACAACTGAGACAGCACTATGATGCTGTATTGCTGGTAATTATTTTTAATAATAAGTACATCAAACAATCACAGGAGAAGTAAAGAAATAAATAATAATATAATTTTTTGTTTCAAGACTTATGGGGCTGAGGAAGACAGGGTTCTAGGTATAGAAAATGAAAATGCTAATAATGTTATAGCAGCCAGGAATTTTGTTGGATGGTATAATGGACATCCTAGAGATAGAAATCTAAAGGTAAAGACTACTTAAAATTTGAACTCTTTATAGCATGATTGGTACTAGGTGGCTCATATATTTTATTTTTGTTCTCAGGTTGACTTATCTCAACCGACAGCAGCTATTCTTGGACAAGGAAATGTTGCTTTGGATGTTGCAAGAATACTTCTCTCACCTATTGATGAATTAAAGAAAACAGACATCACTGAATATGCCCTGAAAGCATTGGCTGATTCAAGAGTCAAGGAATTATATCTTATTGGCAGAAGAGGACCTTTACAAGTAGCATTCACGATAAAGGAACTTCGTGAACAAATCAAGTTAAAGAATTGTTCAACTGTATGGAGAGAAAATGATTTTCAAGGTGTAGCAGATGCAGTTAGTCAATTACAAAGACCAAGGAAGAGGCTGACCGAACTAATGCTCAAATCCTTAGCTGAAAATAGCAAAAATGAAGGCTATGAAAAATGCTTTAAACCAATTTTCTTCAGAAGTCCAAAAAGGTTTTTAGTTGATGGTGATAAAAACCTGACGGGTATTGAATTAGTATGTAATAAGCTTGTAGGAGATAGTATAGAAAACCAGAAGTGTGTACCAACAGAAGATTTAGAAATATTAAAATGTAATCTTGCTTTTCGTAGCATAGGATATAAGAGTATTAAGGTTGATGATGATCTAATGTTCAATTCATATGGGTATGTTCAAAATTCTAAAGGTCGCATTGATGATTTGGAGTGTAAAGGTTTGGCAAAAGTCTATGTGTCTGGCTGGTTAGGAACAGGCCCAGTTGGTGTTATTTTACACACAATGGGCAATGCATTCCAAGTTGCAAAAATGATTTGTGAAGATTTAAATCAGGGTGAATTTGATACAGATAAAGGTGGTTTCAATGATGTTAAGATGCATCTAAATAATAGTGTTATAATAGATTGGCATGGTTGGGAGAAAATTAATAAATATGAAATTGAACAGGGACAGAAATGTGGTAAAATACGTGAAAAAATTACATCTGTTTCAAAAATGATAGAGGTAGCAAGTCAATAGTGTTCCTGAATTTGTATATTAGAGTTTGAGTTATAAACCTTATTATATTTTAATTATGAACATTTAATTTATAGTTATTGTAAATTTATTTATATAAATTGTCATATATTTAAGTTAATATAAGAAAACAAGTTTTGTAACATTTAGACAAATATATTTTTTATACACAATGCAGTTTCTATAAACGTATGCACATAAGTATGCATTTATTTAATTTATAACCTAAAATTTGAATTCCCTTAAGGAACAAAAATATGTTAATGATACGGACACAATTTTAAAGTTATTGAAGCGTCAAAAATCTCAAGTATTTATCTAATTCTATCGCATAGCGGTAAAGACATTCCGTCCATTTTGACAAACTGTCAGAGTCGTGACATGAAATGCCAATAAATAAAAGAGAGAGATGTAATAATCAAAGTATGAGAATGATAAAAAAAAATATAATAACTGTAAAAGGAAAGCCTAATATTTGTGAATTAAATTAAAGAAAGTAAATTGCAACCTTTAAAAAAATATCTCTATGTACTTATTATTGATATAATCGCTTTATATTTTTTAAGGCAACACTTTGATTATGGCAACACCGATATTCTACGTAAATTTAACTTCCTTTTACTCGTGTTCTTTTGACAACACGAGGTTATAATTTGTTAATTCTCAAAAGGTTGGTTTATTTACTATAAAATTTACGTGTACTTTGTATAAATAAGTGAAATAAGTGTTATAATTACGATTACGTTAATATTTTAGGTGTTAACAATGGCCGAGGAAAATTGGACCGAAGATGGCGAGGCAGGCAGCATGGCTGTTGATGCCATGCCCCCGCCACAACCGGCAGATATCCCAGAGATCAAACTCTTTGGAAGATGGAGTTGTTATGATGTCCAAGTTTCGGACATGTCCCTACAGGATTATATTTCCGTGAAAGAAAAGTACGCCAAGTACTTACCTCACTCAGCGGGCAGGTATGCACACAAACGGTTCCGCAAAGCTCAGTGCCCGATTGTTGAGCGCCTGACCAATTCCCTGATGATGCACGGCAGAAACAACGGCAAGAAACTTATGGCTGTTCGTATTGTCAAACACGCATTCGAGATCATCCACCTTCTGACGGGTGAAAACCCCCTTCAGGTTCTTGTGACAGCTATCATTAACTCTGGCCCTCGTGAAGATTCCACTAGGATCGGTCGTGCTGGTACAGTGCGTCGTCAAGCTGTGGACGTTTCTCCCCTACGTCGTGTAAACCAGGCTATTTGGCTCTTATGCACTGGTGCTCGTGAGGCAGCCTTCAGGAACATCAAGACAATTGCTGAATGTGTTGCTGATGAGCTCATCAACGCCGCTAAGGGCTCATCCAACTCATATGCCATCAAGAAGAAAGACGAGTTGGAACGTGTTGCTAAATCCAACCGTTAAGTGTTTTTAAGAAAAGGACTAAATAAAAATGTAAGAAAATTGTTGTGTTTCATTTTAGAATGTCACTAATTTATGTATTTTAATGTTATCAGTTTAACTTTCATTACTCTATTAGAACATCATATACTGTATCGTATTGCTTTGCTGTGCTTTTATAATTGTGTACTAAAAATTAAAAGTCAAAATTTTGTAATCTGTCTGAATCTTATAATAACTTTAAAAGGCTTTTAATTGGAAAGTAAAAAAGTGTATGTTGGTAATTACAAAATATCTTAATTTTGACTACAATGCCTATTGTAAACTCTTGAACTGTTTAAACTTATTTTACATAATTTCTGATGTGAAGTCATAAACCGGACTCTTCCTAAATTCATTGTTGTTGTTTTTAATAAAATAGATTTTGTGAAGAAAACAATCTGGAGTGAGCTAAAAATAAAGAGTGTAAGTATGTACTTAGGTAGTTAAAATGTATGTGTGATTGAGCATACATGATTTAATATCAGCTTGGTTGCGACTTGTAACAAGCCTTATTACATATCTAACTCTACAAATTCTTAAACAAAAGAATGTAAAACTTTATTTTCTGCTTAAAAATATTAACATTGAATAGAATTGTGTCAATCATTAAACTCATTTTTAATAAATAAATGAGGATTTACTCTGTTTCGTTAGAGAATTCTTACTTTAAGACCATTAGAAATTTTTCAGTATCTTAGATCTAAGTAGATCTTGGCCAGCATCGCATGATTTATAGACAAAAAAGTCGTTAACGAATAGGATAGTTTGATGTTTTTTTAGTAATAATATATTTGAGAGACATATTTTTTTTACCAAATCAACTAAAACTAACATACTCTGTTAAAAATAATACGTTTTTCTATTTATTTAAAACAATATTAGTATATATGTATGTAGACTTAGACCGTTTATATTATTTTTTTATGAAATGTGATATTTTCATACAAAAAAAATTTATAGGTAATGTTAATAATTCTATTCTTACACAATTGACTATTGTGAATGAACCTAATGATATTAAAACATTATCAACTTAATTTATGAAATTATAATTTAAACCTCTCAGTTACCGAACATATAGGCACATCTTTTGACATAACTAATAAATACTGACATACGTCACTCGACCACCAAGAATTGTATACACGACTACTATTTGAGAAAAAAGATTTAACTTACGCTATAATCGCTCTGTAAAAAGCATTCAGATTTCAAATACTACTTATAATTTTATTGGTTTTAAAAGCTGTATCATCCTGATAAGCGCTTTAGATCTTTTAATACATCGTGTAGAATGATTAACAACTATTGAAATTCAAATAAACATACTTTCACTGTTTTAGATAGGCAAATATTTTTAAAAATGATTCACAGTTTATTTATTATAAATCCTGCTGGGTAAGAAGAATTTTTTAAACCTCACAGCTTCGGGTGCAACTCCATATGACTAATGAATTTTCATTTCCAGGGATGTGTTTTTAGAAAAGCATTGGCGAAGTGTTATACCTAGATCAGTATGTGATTATTACTTAGAAGCTCAGAGAGCTTCGCCTAATGTAAGTGCTCTCGTAAATATTTTAAATTCATAGTGAAATTGATGAAATTGTTGATAATTTTTTTTTCAAATTATTAGGATGTCCCTCCAGTGATAGCTGCTCCTCATCATTATCTAATTTCAATTCAGAGAGGAGGAGTTGCCCTGGTGGCTGTCAGCAAACAAGAGGTGCCACCTCTATTTGTTATTGAATTCCTACATAGAGTTGTGGATACATTCCAGGTAAAATACTTTACTACTATTAAGCATACATATTTTTATTATGAAATATATGTATATGCTATAAGCTACAACCAATTTATCCTTCTAATTTATGAATTTTCTTTTCTAGGATTACTTTTCTGATTGCACTGAAACAATTATTAAGGAGAACTATGTTGTTGTTTATGAGGTAATAGAGGACATGTTTCTTTGATAGAATGTATAAAAAACATTTTTGTTAGCTTCTAATTATGTTTTAATTAAACTTTTTTGATGTGGGAGACTTCTACATTAATTGATAACTGAATTTTCGATATTTCAGTTGTTGGATGAGATGTTAGACAATGGTTTCCCATTGGCCACTGAGAGCAACATTTTGAAGGAATTGATAAAACCTCCTAATATATTTAGGACAATAGCCAACACTGTGACAGGCAAATCAAAGTATGTACAATATTTAATAATCTAGTTCACTGTAGTATATGTATTTTAACAATAAATATTATTTAGAGTTAAAAATATTTATTTGCTATGTGTAACATTCATGTGATTGAAAGGTATTTGTCAAAACCATGTAATGCTTAGTATAAAACAATTAAAACAATATTGTTTTTACATTACAAACATATTTTTAAATTAACATTAATGATTACATTACTGTAACTCAATAAGTAAGATGTTCTATGTACATATATTAATGTATAATTTTAATAAATTCCAGTGTTTCATCTATACTACCTGGTGGACAACTTTCTAATGTGCCATGGCGTAGAACGGGAGTCAAATATGCTAATAATGAAGCATACTTTGATGTCATTGAGGAAGTTGATGCTATTATAGATAAAAGTGGAGCAACTGTATCTGCTGAAATACAGGGATATGTAAGTTTATTGCAAAAAATTTATTAGTATATATATTTACTAGAAGACCCGGCGAACTGCATATCGCCCTATAATGAATAAATATCTGTTACGTTTTTTTATTTATATTTTTGGAGTTTACTTATTAAAGCCATAAATCTCCGGGTTTTGAAGTGCGACAGAATGATTGACATATTAGTTAGTTGTCAAATCTAATGTCAAAAAAAAAACGTTTGTATCAACAACTACTAATAAATTAAAAATTAATTAAAAAAACATTGTCCAGCGGACAAAATTGTGAATCTAAACCATTCCCAGATCCCCTTGAACACACACAAAAAATTTCATCAAAATCGGTCCAGTCCAGTCCAGTCCAGAGAGAAGTTCAGTGGCATACACACTCACAGAAGAATTATATATATAAAGAAATGTATATTCATTAATTGAAATGAATTAATTTCTTTCTTAGATTGACTGCTGTATTAAGCTGAGTGGTAAACCAGATCTGACCTTGTCTTTCGTGAATCCAAGGCTGTTTGATGATGTGTCTTTCCATCCTTGTGTGAGATTTAAAAGATGGGAGGTAAGATCAATATTTAATTTAAAAAAAAATCTTTCAATCTATTACTTCATAGTTGTACTTAAGTATGAAACATTTGACAGTAAGAATAGTAAAATTTACAAATTTGTTAAGTTATTTTACATTTTAAGCATAACTGAGTTTAATTCATATTTTTCCAGTCTGAAAGAATATTATCTTTCATACCACCAGATGGTAATTTTAGACTGATGTCATATCACATTGGTTCACAAAGTGTTGTGGCAATACCTATCTATGTAAGACATAATCTATCATTACGAACCAATGGAGACCAAGGACGATTTGACATGACTGTTGGTCCCAAACAAACCATGGGCAGGACCTTGGAAAGTAAGTCATCTTATTGTACCAAAATATGTAATAAGAAAGTAAACTACTTCAAATATATCTTGATATATTGGAAATAGTTTGCTTTTTTTATTTTAATTGCTTGCAATTGTCTATACGGGTGAGAAATTAATATATATACAAGATATTTTATAATTTATTAGTAAATGAGGATAGAAGATAAAAAGTATACATATACATAGGTACTTATTAGATTTTAGAATCATCAAAGACTATTCTTATTATACAGTAGGACCCCGATTATCCGGACCTCGGTTATCCGAATTCGCGATTATCCGGACTGCCAATCGCGACGAGTTTATTCTAACACTAGCTGTGCCCGCGACTTCGTTCGCGTGGACTAGTGACTATGAGTAGCATTTTTTTTTAAATATATACTTATTTTTATTTTGGATCATAATCACAGTCATTTTGGGTAGCTAAAAAACCTACTTTACTGTAATGCTTCTCTATATACAATATTAGACGTATGGTCATCGGGGGTGAAAGCATACAGGCTGCTGGGATTGCTAACACAGGACAGAGCCACATACAATTGACACACCCGGTCGAATATTGAAAGCAGTTCTTCAGTTCTTTAATTTGACATAACTTTTTTATTTTTGAACCGATTGACATGAAACAAACACTAAAGCATAACTGAAGCATACCACAATATATTCGTGAAAACCGAATCCAACTCGGATCAGCCGTTTCTTAGATTAGCGTGAACAGACAAAAAAAAAGTTAATTACATTTTTGGGTTCGACATCGACATAACAATAATCCCTGTTATTTTTTTTATTTTTATTTTCAATGTACAGACAGCACTTTTCTACAATTTTATTATTGTATGTATAGATTAACATGTCAGAACTTGCACAACGCCACGCCACTTATCACACTTATACGTACATTATGTACAATTTCTTAATAAACGTTGATTTTCGCTCATATGTATTTGTTGTTTTAAATAAACACCTAACATTACATATGTATGGTACAGACTACATATGTACATATGCAAAAAGCCCGTTTTTCTTCATATATTGGATTATCCGGACTTTCACTTATCCGGATGCCTACCGACAACAATTAGTCCGGATAATCGAGGTCCTACTGTATTATAAAAAAAATTCTCAGGTTGAAAGAGTTTATATAAAATTTGTTGGAACAAGAGGAAGCCTATTGTTATACCACCTCTATGTATTTGTAGATGGAAAAATTTCTTTAAAATAAAAAATATATATTTTTAAAATGATTTTTGGACTATATATTGTCACCATTGTTGTAGTAGTTTCCAATGCTGTACATTTACTCAGATTTACTCAGATAAAATATTGAACAATAGGAATTGTTCATGTGACAAATCTTTACTTGTTTGATAATAATTGTAGTACTAATTTCGGAAACATATTGTGAGCAACTTCTGATACTATTTTATCTTTTTGAATTCCTTTTATTTCAGATGTAGCATTAGAGATCTGTATGCCGAAATGTGTTCTCAACTGTTCACTAACTGCTAATCAAGGAAAGTATTCATATGATCCTGTTAGTAAAGTACTGCTGTGGGACATTGGACGTATCGAACTACCGAAATTGCCGAATATACGAGGAAGTGTAAGTTATTGAAGTTTAATATTGAAAAATAGTTACACAATAGAAATCGAGATGTCTAGACAATTCTCGACATCTTAATTTCTTCATGAATCATGTTTCCTGATAATAAACTTTAAATTCTCTTAAGGCTTCTTTAGTTATGTAGTTTGGTAAAATTAATTGGACTTAAGAAATATTCCACAAACTTGGGTGTATCGAAATTCCTCTAATGCTTTTATTTTAATATGATAAAATGGGCAAATGAGCAGAAGGCCTACCAGATGGACATAGTACCTTCGCCCATCGACATCTGCAAAATAGTTTTGCAGATGCGTTGCTACCCTTATTTGGGGAAGAGAAAGAGAAAAGGGTGAGAACAGGGAAAGTGAAGCAAAGGGTGGGTAAAGGGAAAATACAACCAGCTCTTTCACTCATTGAAAGTGATGTAGTCTTATAAGCAGCCACATAAGACTACTTCACGCCGATCTTCTGTGAGAGGATGGTACTTCCCCGGTCGAACCAGCCCGTGTTCGAATTGCAGTAATTTAACCACAGCTAGCTTTACCACCATTAAAAATTTGCTATTCTAAGATCATAAGTATAAGTAGCAAAGCAAAATCAAATAAGGAACTTCTCACACCTCATATTGTATAGCATATGTATAGATTTATTAAGTCTTTAAAAATATCTCAATAATTCAGCCAAGTTATGTTTGATCCCCAGGTTTCCCTAGCATCAGGATCCGATACTTCAGGCGCTAATCCCAGTATCAACGTTCACTTCACCATACCTCAATTAGCGGTCAGCGGTTTGAGAGTCAGTCGGCTTGATATGTACGGCGCTAAATACAAGCCGTTCAAAGGTGTCAAATATGTCACCAAGGCTGGCAAATTCCATGTCAGGATGTAAACTTACAAATATATCTGAACAATACAGTTAGCCTTAATTTTAAGTGACTTATTGTATACATTTTTATATTTCACTTATGTCGAATGAGTAATATATAGGTTATCTGTAAATACTGAGAACAAAAATAAACATTATAAAAAAATTAATAATTCTTATTATAAAGTACTTTTGCGTCAAATGGCGAAGGATGAGTCTTTTTGAAAAAACTTACTTTTAAATGGAATACCAAGAAACTGTTTGTTTGTACTTGTACATTTATTTGGAATATCGGTTTCATGGCTAACATATAGTGTTAATACTATGAGATAAAAAATAAAATATGTATATGGAATATACATATATTACGTAGATCAGTACCTAAGTTAATGTTTCATAAATAAATAAAAGAAAATTTTACAATGTAAAGTTTCACGTTATAGGTAGACAATCAAGGATTTGAAAATAACGGTTAATTTAATTGCTTTAGTTACTTTCCTAGCGCTATAGGTTAAGTGACAAATGACATTTGAAATGACAGTTAAGTGTGTGGGAATATTAAAATGTTGTCTAACTTTTTATTCTTGTTAAAATTTTTGTTAAAAAAAATATTTCAAAAATAAGGCGCGTGCAATCAGAAACAAGTTTTTTAAATGTACGAAATACTTGTTGAATTTTTATTTTATTTCAAAATAAGTATATTGAAATGATAAACATGTATGTACACTTTTTTTATTAAATATATAAAGCATCACCAGTGGTATATTTATACACCCTATTTTTACCACCTTCAAACACACATTTTTAAAAGTAATAATAAGGAGTTCTTAAGAGAATATTTTCTATATAATTCAAATTATCGCTATTTCCTGAAGATTCTTTTTCTTACATGTCTCTATTTGTAGATCCAAATTATAACTAACACTTCTTGTGGGAGAAAGTAATTTAAAACTATTATTATTATGATAAAACTACAAGTATTGTAGTTGCATTATTTAAGAAATAGTAAAAACAACGACTTTTTTGTGATTGCTAAAATCCATACTGGATAAGTAACAGTTAGACATGGATCTAATTCATGTATTATTTTTTTTATAATTTAGGTCTAATAGAGTTTGATTTTTATTCCACCTTTAGTAGGTGTAAATAAAGCCGTAGTTTAACGTATAATCTTCTCGGTAACAGCATATTAACTTTAGATTTGAAGACACTTTTCGCCTGTGACCAGACTGGATTTTACAATATTCAAATGTGTTTGCTTAAAGGGTGAAGATTGTTCCTACTTCACCTTTTAAGATATCTAGAGTTTAAAAAAAACGTTTTCATAGTTTTTATTACTTCCCACACTTGAAAACAATGATTTAAAATAAAATTACCAAAGGAAATATTCATCGCCCATTTGTAATAACCACATTTTGTCAAAGATTCCTTATGCATCTGAAAATTCTACTCATTATGAAATATATCCAATTCATTGTGATATAAATTTTATTAGCATTGTTTAACACAGTGCGACCGTCTAGTTTTAAGATTTTGCATTCTTCTTCTTAACAAAGCTAATAAACTTACCAAGTTCTAATGACGATAGAAACTAGGTACATACATGAAAATGAAAAAGATATTTATATCTCGTCTGCCCGTTATCACGCTTGCTGCCAAGCAATCAAAATGTCGGTAGTGTGAAGTTTGAAAAAATAATTTAAAAAGACGCGTAATATATCCGAAAAGTCTTATTTAAAGAATCATACAACGTGTCAAAGTTAAATTTGTACCATGTATACACGAGAAATGTAATTATACTGTAAAAATATGAGACCAAACTAAGGTTTAATAACTTAAGATTTATGCTCTTACGATTTTATCATGAACCTAATCCAGATGTTATACATATATCTTACAATTTGCATAACAAATCGATGTTGCGAGATCAGAGGGTGTGAGGGTATTGATCTTTATAAATGCAGGGAAGTTTGATCCTTATCTTATAAAACTTTCAGCTCAACTTTTAACAAATAATGGATTTACATCTACTGCTTGTTCATGAACGCCTGGTACTCAATGTTTTCGAATAAACGTGATTCTCTCAACGAGAGGAAAAAGGCGTAACAAACAAACATACTTTACTAAACAATCACCAAAACTTTGTGATTCCGTCATATTTATCCGCCATCCTAAATTTTAATGAATGAGGAATAAAATATGTTTTTGGTATAATTAGTTCTCTAAGCATTTAAAAACATTCAAACAAAATATGACAGGATTATGCAGTGAGTACTTTATGTTATTATTAAATATGTAATTATATTATAGGAGCATCGAATATTTTTTAATCAAATTTAATGAATTCCCTTATATAAAAACTAATAATCAGGTTTTCCATCTGACTAGCAGAATAAAACTATGAAATTGGATAATCACAAAGATACTTGAAATATGTAGGTACTTACATGTATAAAAGAGTGTGTGATGAAAGTGTAAAATCAACTAAAAACAAATTTTATTTAAAGTATAAAAAACATAGAACATTTTTGAAACCGTGCCCCATTTATTTTTTACATTTAACAGAGTCTCAAGTTTAGAAACGTAACTTTTAACCTGTCACGCGCGAGACTTGTAAAGTTATATCGCGGTCAGTGGTGGAATAACAAATGTGCGATTATTTTTATGCAAGTTGTGATTCTTATTCAAGCTTTATGCTATTAAGTTCAGACAAATTGTATGATCACTTCTATATGAATATAATAACTATTATTTTAGACAAACACTTGTTTTTTTATTACCTATGTATGTAGTAAGCGGATGATAATATGAGTAAATCGAAGTATAAATCCATACAAAAATTTAATTATTTGCGGAGAATTTTATGAGATGATAAAATGTATGCGGTTATTCACATTTTGATAGTAGTGTATTGTAATATGTAAGAAATATGTACTAAATATTTCATAAGATAATCAGTTACACTTTGAATTAATTTAAAAAAAGCCACGTGAAAGTTGAAATGCGGACATTTCCCAAATATTTTAATACTGTTATCTCTGTTTCGTTAAAATGATGTGTCACTTATTTCCTTTTTTGAATTTTACAACATCAGATTTGTTAAGGCACAGCTTATTATAGTCTACAGACCATAAAAAGGATAACAGCCTTCGACAATATTAGATTACTTTACTTCCTATTTCGTTGTTAGATAAATATAACGTTTACTTACTTTGTGTTCAATTTAACCGCTTTGTTCCCATTTTGGTGAAATTATCTCAGGACGTAGCGAAGACACGCGTTTTCAATAAGCAATTTATTTTTCTATCGGCTTTCACTCGCTAGTGTAATTGTCTTTGGATCTTGAGTATAATAGTTTAGTAATTTTCTATAATTTAACAATGCTATTATTTCATATTTCAAAATTTATTGAAAAATATCAAAGAGATATAAGTATGAATAAATTCATCAATATTATAGATGAATATTATAAATTGCTAGCAGTATTGTACAGTCAATTTGGTCACCATAACGTTTTATTAAATATCTTCAACTCACTCTGATCATTTTTCCAAACATACGAAATTTTAAGGTCACTTAAATAGTTTTTGAGTTTATCCGTTACACACAAGAATACGAATTTCTTTTCATTATATTAAAATAGATGATTTGCTTCTTTTTTAAACTAACTATTTACATCTGCTTTAACTGTTTACTTATATAAAGTACAATCGCTTCTAGTTTTAATAAATTATTTTATTAAATTTTTTTATTAAATATGAACACGGTATATTATCAGGTTAAGAGGAATTAATATTGAAATTAAAAAATGAAACGAAAAGTTCTTAAAAATAGAACATAAATTCAGAATTTTATAATATAACGGTAGACATAGTATATGTTTCTTTGTTTTATTAAAAATTGTGAAAGTTGATAAGAGTCTATAAATATACTGAATTGCTTCCAATTAAAATAATAATAGTATCTTATTCATTGTGCAGTTTAACTCGGCGGATTAGATTTGTTTTCAGGTCAACTTTTTGGGTCAGCAATGCGAAATATGTTCTATAGTTGTGTTATAGTTAAGAACTGCTGATACAAAACTTGAATGATATATAGTATTATTGTTATTCATATATAAATGTAATATAAAGAAAGACAACAGTATAAAATTGGTGATAAATAATTTAAACTTTTTAATTACGCTGCGTACTAAATAAAGTGAAAAGTAGGGACAAAATATAATGGAGTTAGCAGTAGGAGGTATACTATCTCTCTTTTTATGTACCCAAGCCTCCGTCAGCTAATTTTATTTGAACTGGTTTCGTTCACTTTTTCCTCCGTTTTTTAATTATAAAGTTTATATTTTTTTTGCACTTGTAGATATTTTTTTATTCACAAAGAAATACATTTAAAATATAACGCTAATGTACATACTACTCTTGCGACTAATGTATAGAAACTTTAAAATAGCCAAGCGATCCTCCGCATTTATTACAAAATTCAGCATCTTCTTATATTATTAGAACAGATGCAAATATGTTTTTTAATTGTTACATGGTCTAATATAATGTATTAATAAGACGACTTAAAGATACTTTTCTTGGTACATTGAATTTGATGTTTCCATTGATTGGATGTTTGAAAGGAATGTAAGATCAAATAGAATTTTACTATACATGTTATACAATGACGGTTGAAATCTATAGTTGAAATTTTATTTTGTACCTTTATAAGAGTACCTAGTACTGAGTTCCGTATTTGATCAATTTGATGATGTAAAAGATAATATAATTACCACACCGCAATACAATGCTTTATTATATGTTTAATGTAAACTTTATATGTTCATACCTTTTTGGGTCACTATAATAAAATTGTACTTCTCATAATGAAACCTACATTTTCCGACGCCTTCATAATTATGTTTTCAAGGGCTATAGAAATTTTATGTAGTGTCTAAAATGATTATAGAACATCAAATTTTAATAACGTCTATTACAATTGATCACAAATGTGTGTGTGTGTATATATTTCATGTATAT